TCTTCGCGTTTTCTTTATGCATGCTTTGTTTTTAAAAGCTTTTCTGGTTCTTTTCATAATAATAATAATAATAATAATAAGCTTCCTATTTATTTTTTTTTTATATCTCAATAGGATACTCTATATTTTTTTTATAATCTGAAAATTCAATAGATTTTCGATCCAAATACATTTTTAGATGATTGAAAAAAATCCAAATGAATATTTTTTTTTAAAATAGAAACTCGAATCCAGATTAAGAATAAGTTTTAACTACAATTGAATCACTTAATTTTGGTTAAAACTAATATTTTGTACGGAGAAGAATGTTTTTTTCACATTTATCAAAAAGTATAATTTTATTGTGTTTTGGTTAAGCATAAACCAAGTAAATTTAGAGTTTCTTGATGGACAAACAAAGCCTTTTGATTTGAATCTTTTTTACTTTTTTTTTCTTAGGATTTGATTTGTGCGCTGGTGATGACGTGGCCGAATTGGCTTTAGAGAGCCACGTGCGAGCCACTAAAACGTGTTCGCGGCACCGACGCGTGTGTGTTCCCGCGTTATCGTACGTAACCGACCCATGGTATGTTGTTGTCGGAAAACGGCCTGGAACTGAAATGGCCCCGACTTTTTGAAACAATGGGCCTATAAATTTTGGCCCACAATAATGGATTTTTAGGTTTCTTTTGTTTCCAAATAAAATTTGATAAAATCCTATATATAAATAAAGGAAAATACCAAAAAAAAAATCATCAAAACTACCTTGGTCATACCAAACCTTTTCGACTTCCAAATTCATACTAAAATTTAAAAATATGACAAAAACTTTATTATCGACAACAAAACGGCGTTAACTCATTAACCAAAAATCTAAAACCCAAAAAAATTGACAATAAAATTAGTTTTTTTTTTAAATTTGGAAAACCATTTTAATAAAAAAAATCAATTTAAAACTAAAAAACTCCATTTTTGGATTTTAAAAAAAAATAAAAAATCATTCAAAATAAAAATTGCATCCATTTAATCCCTAAATACAAAAAATCTTTTTAAAAAATTATAATTTGATTTTAAATAATAATAAAATAAAAACTATAATACATATTTACACATATACATACATGTATACACTTAATATATATATATACATACACATATGCACATATGCATACATATATTCATATAGACATACATGTATATATGAATATACAAATGCATGTATATGTATGTAATATATTATTTTCTCTGTTGAATTATGTAGCATTTGTTCTAGAACCTGGGAAGAAATTCTCACCTTATTTCGATTTCATGACTTGCTTTATTTTATTTTGTCAATGTTTTCTACAAATAAACAAATTACCACTTGTATTCCTGTCTCTTATTCTTTTAGGTCTGTTTTCGGACATGACGGCAGCTTAATTATTAAGTTTGTTCATATTGTAAGACTCATGCCAATGAATACGCGTATAGTTCGTGTTTAATTACACGATAGTTCTCCATAATTTCCAATTATTAGGTTCATGGTGTCTCGTTTGTGATTGACAGATTTTATGTTGTGCATGGTACAAGGTGCTTATATATGTTTTAGTACAACGTATATGTAGCAGAGCCATTTGGATCATGGTTTGGTTCAGATCGGTTTAGACTATGAAAATGGTTAACCCGATTGTGATATTTGGACCAAACCGGGGCCTAAACCCTCTTCTGATCTAATTCTAATCTAATAGAATCTTGGGTACTCATAATATGATCTATTTTCTATGTAAAAATAGCCTTTGTATTTTATTAGTTTTGTTTTCTCCTGAAATTTACACAAACAAAATTTATTGTATATTTTATCTACCGATCTACCAATCGCTTGTTAGAGATATTGAATTCTAGTTTAACTGTTTTGGACATTTTTTTTAGTTGGTGAACTGAATTCACTTACTTTTAAAATTCGACAATGTTTCAACTGTTGTTTTTTGTGACCAAAGATCGGTCGGTCCATTGACTCTCTTCATCCTCCCAAATAGACAAATCTATGAGCCCATTTCGCAACCTCAATAAATTGGGAATTTATTGTTCGTATATCGTGTAGATAATTCATAAATGTAACACTTCAAAACCCATTAAAAAAAAATTCAAAATTCAATTTACATGCACCAAATTCATTTACGCAAAAAAAAAAAAGAAGAGTAATGTCATTCACGTATGGAATGTGTACAGGCCGATGTCTTTGGATTTGATGAAAGGAATGTCCCATTCCCATCGATTCGATGCCCTTCAATGCACAACATCTTTTCTTTTTTTTTTGAAAAAAATATTATATTCGCTTTAAAAAAAAAATTCTGACGCCATATTTATAGAAAAGAGGTGCCGAAATGGACCCTCTCGATATTTATAGTACCTAAAGTACGCTTATGTTTCTATCCATTGCTTCGCGTTCATGGAACTGTATAGTTTCCATTTTCCCAAAAAAAAATAAATTCGAATTCCCTATTTGCCTTTTTTTTTTCTTCCAAAAGTTAAATTACATTTAGACTGAGTAATTTTTCTCACACAAATTACAATTTCGAATAGATTATTTCGTTAGTATTTCTTCTGCTTTCCATTTAGTTATAAAAAAATATGATTTTTGTGTCGTCGTTACAACGGATAAGAACATATATAGGAGTTTTCTATGTACTATGAATGCAATAATTTTTTTTCAAGACAACTGAAAATCTCATGAGGAAGCAGCTGACGTGGCTTTAATACGTAAATGCCAAAAATCAAACATTTAATGATTTTGCGGTTTTTCTTTTAGTTGAAAGAGACACTACATAATTATCTACCCTATTAAACTCTCTATGTCTTTTTTGTTATTGAATTTTTTTTTGTCCCACTTATAGGAGTGTAAAACAATCCGCGGCTCGCGAGTTGGATCACGTATTTTTCCAAGTCGGATTCAAAATATTTAAACTCAGAAAAAATCGGGCCAAACAATCCGCGGCTCGCGACTGGTTCGCGGATCAAAAAAAAATATTTCTTTTAAAATTTTAAAATTTGTATATATTTTAAAATATTTTTATATACAATTATATTTTTTAATACATAATTATTTTTTAAAAAAAATTAATTTTTTATACCACCCGCATCTGAGTTGTTCGTCTCTTCATAAATTTAAGTGAAAATTTATGAATGTTGAAATTTGGATATGGATGGTTGTGTATTACGCGTAGACAATTGTTAGGATATTGGAGCAAGCTAGACAGTGCCAAAAGAAGAGATTGTCATCAGTTATTATCGTTTGAGCCGACGACGATCGTTCGAGCCGCCTCCTTCTCTTCCATCGTCATCCAGTGGCAGCATCCGACGGAAGAGGGAATAGCAATAACGACAGAGTCTTCAGTGGACGTCGAGGGAGAGAGAATTGTAGGAGCGAAGCAACGACAATGGTTGTTGATCGATGCATGGGAAGAAAGTTTTATGAATCGTTGGTGGAGATTGTGAATAGAATTTGATCAAGCAGCATCTTAATAGTTTTAATGTCTAAGACGACCTATTTCTAATCACATCATGCATCATTAAAAGTAAAGTATTTTTGTACCACTTCTTCTTATGATTAAATAGGTGTTTCGTTCGCCCAAAAAAAGGATTGGGGGAGTTAGATCATGGGACCACATTCCTATTGGGTCTCCATTATTCGGATACTTGGAAGTGCTTAGAAGAATAGTGTTTCTGACAACAATTATATATTTCTGATTGACTCCCTACAAACATTCAAGGCCTTGGTGGAAGGGAGGTATCTCGCGGACAAACTTATTTGGCTCACGGGATAAGTCGATATGGATTGGACTGATTTATTTTTGCTAGCTAAAAAATGGGTTGGATTTGGTTGAGTTAAAATTTTTTCAGATCAGAACGAGACGGTTTGGATTGGACCGAATCACCCCGTTTTACACCTCTATTTTTCTATTAATTAAGGTATGAGATAGTTTTTTTTATATATTAGACGTAAGATATATTTTGGCAAAATATATTAAATCTTAACATTTCAAATACATTTGATGTATAGTGTATAATTTTGAATATATTTTTTTTTCTTTCGTAACTTTCATAGTGCACCATTATGTGAGTTGTAACCCTCTTGTATTGTATAGTCAACTCCAACAAAATTGTCGAATTCTCCTATATTTGTTATATTATCTCTTGTAAAGCTATGTTATAAACTATTTTAGAGTATGTACTTAGATCTAAATTTAAATAAATTAGATTTTCCTCCATAGTTTATAGCTTCTAAGCTACGGTATTTAATATCCATATATGGATTTGTTTTAATAAAAAAAACTTGATAGTCTTGGACTCTTAGATGATGTAAATTTTCCAAGTTGAACAGTAAGTTTACGTTCATTTTGATCATTATATTAAAAAAAAATGTGCATTTAGTTCTTTACTCAATTCTTCACTTGGTAATAAATTTTTTACAAAACAATTTTTTTTTTTGTAAAACACACAATATTTTCGGAATGTGTTTAAAAAAGACAAATTTAACATAGAATGTATCTCAAGATTATCGACATGCCACTCAATTTTGTCACTTCAATATACCATATATTAACATTAAAAACTTACATTCTTATGTGCATATATATATATAATTTTCACATACATATATATACACATCACGTACATATATCGTATACAAACACCAACATACGTACCCTTTTTTTTATGACGGAACATACGTACCTTCAATACTATATATATATATATATGTATATGTATGTATGTATGTGTATATATGTATGTAAGTATATATATGCATGTATATGTATGTGTATATATATTTAAAATGTTGTGTAATTGATAATGCAGTGACACGCGTGGCAGTACAATTCGTATATTTTATTTTTCTACATTTTGAATTTTCCCTGCACCATTTACATAATTATAACATATGGATAATAGGGTCATCAAAGTTTGCCAAACAAAAAATCTTCGACGGGCAAATAAAAGACGAGAAAAAAAAATACATTTTAAACAGAAGATAAAAAGTAGGGTTGAGTAACGATGGTCAACACTTGTAGTCCCGACAATCACGGGACCTAATAACGAAAGCCTATGTTTCTCATGTAATGTATTATATATATATATTTATTTATTTATTTGACCAGTATTAGTTTGATCTATGAGTTGATTATTCTATATTTTGGATATTTATTTACCCACTTATATCTCTTGCTAAATTCAATCAAAATATGTTTATATTAACACAAACTTTGGTTACACTATATTTGAATGTTTTATATTTGTGTAAAAAATATATCCATTCATATTTTATAGGTTTTTGTTTAACTTAAAATATATTAAAATTATTTTTTAAAAATAAAAAAGTTATTTTCTAAAACAATATCAACTTTTTTAGGATTCATTTCAATTTTTATTAATAAAAAAGATTTCAATTGTGGGTTTATTTTTTTTCATTCACCTTTTTGTCATTTTAGTGTTTTTTAATTCAAATTCAATTAAGTTGATTTTAAGAATATGGTGACTATTTAATTTTTTCATATATATATATGAGATCATATTATATTCTATATATATATATATATATATATATATATAACTTGCATCTTTAATACAAACTTGAGTAATTTAATGGTAAGAGAACATGTAAAATATACCATTATCCTAGGTTCAAATCTAAACATGGAGAAAGAGATATTTATCTGGACTTTCCTGATCTTTGGGGAGATGTAGTTGAGTCAAAGGTACGGTGAACTTCCGAATTATAAAAAAAAAACTTGTATGTCTTGCGTTTCAATCTTTTTCTTGAATTTATGGTTACTACTGAGAGAAATTTTGATGATAATTTAACAAAGCAATAATTTTCTCGATCCATTTTTACGAGTGACTTTTGAGAAATGTATACATTCTTTTGCATTAAATTTACAAAAATCCATCCTATCACAATATCTTATGTAATAAACACATCCACATTGGTTACAATGTTATCTATTAGATAATCTACTAGTCGCCTATATATATATATATATATATATATATATATATATATTTTATGCAGAACATATTCTCACAATTTCATTTGTTTTTAAAAGTCAGAAAAATAAATGATTCAAAACACAAAATACGAGGTCAAACTAAAATTATGGACTCGTAAATACGATGGAAGAAAAATAGTCACAATAATAATGATATGATGGCCGACATAATGTTTCTGTCTTCCACATGCAAACCATTTCCACTTTCTATATTTGCTTTTTATTTCACTCTCATTTCAATTCTCTTTAGCCTTTTACTATTTCCCCCCATAATTCCTTCCCAATTTTTAAAGCACAAATTAAAAAGTACTGCAACATAAAATATTTTGAAAAACAATATTCTACAGAAAACCTCTTTGAAATTCATTCCGCCCTTGTAAAGTATTGTAATTTTTTCATTTGGTATGGGTATTTGAATTTTTTTATTTTATAAAGAAATAGATATCCGATTTTATATTATTTTTTGTAATAAATCATATTTTGGAATTTAAATTTTTCTAAAAAAATTATTTCTAATCTTTTTTATATTAACTTAAAAAACCATTTTTGGTTGAATTTTGTATCAATTTATGTTCTTATAAGATTATTTATTAATTATTTAATTTTATCTTTTTTTTGTATATTTAAAAGTGAAATACTTAATCCTAATTTTGAGTATACGAGTCAGAAGATATATAAAAGAAAATTCTAAGGTTAGATGCAACTGAATTCAACAATGAATGAGTGCATTTTAAAGTTGCTTCGGAGTATTTTACCTCGAGAGGCTGACGTGGCATTCACAGCTCTATTAAAAACCCGCTTTTTAATCATCATTAGGCATTAGCCTAATTATTGTCATTAAAAGGCAAATCGAGTGAGCAGAATAGAAACATTTATGATTCACATCAAATCCTTCTGTGGTGTGGATACACTCCAAGACATCAATTTTTTAGATTGAAAAGAGAAGAACAATAATAGATCAGTAGAAATTATAGGATTATTAGATTAATCTTAGAATATTTATAAAAATAAACTTCATTTAAATTCGATATAGCAAAAACTAATCAATACAATCGAATGCCAATAAATATAGTATTGAACTTTATAAAATATGTCAAAAAATATATTAGCTTTTAAGACAATGAATATAGTATTTTCCAAAAAAAATATATCTTAATTCTTCAAATTAAAAAGCGATTTTATGAATTATCTTTATTTACACCATCAATTATTCTAATCAAATTATTTGAAATTGTTTAATACACGAATTTTAACCGAATTTAACAATCTTTATTCGAAAGTAATTTTATATTTGTAATTTAACGGTATAATTTTTTAAAAAATGTTTTCAATTTCAAGAGTTGAAGTACTTTTTAAACATTTCAATATTTGGTCGAACTAAAAATTAATATATATTTACACATTTTATAAAATCAGAGCATTTTACGAGTTTTCCCCTAAACAAAATAATAATATCAAAGAGGGTGAGCAAATGTGAAGAAATCAAAAGAATATGTTTCAATTATCATAATTTCCTTTTTTTTTTCTATATTATTCGTAATAATTTCCGGATAAAATGCACCACCATCTCTCACTCTCACCATCGATGGCAGAGAGGGTAGGCAGTTTAACTTTGCCAACATATGAAAGAACACAAAATGTCACAATGCTCCCATTATTCATATTACAAAATACTCGGCTTTCTTTCTCTTGCTGCTCTCACTCCTCAGCTTCTATATCCGTACTCCCAACTCTCCCTTGCTTTTCTTGGACACTTGCTCGGGCGATGAAGCCACCGACGAAGAAGAAGAAACGTCCCCGGAATCGTTTGATGAGCCCTCGGTGCCAAACGATCCTTCCATTACGGTGTTTGGACTGCTCGGAGATGCGATCAGACCGAACTTCCTCTTGTTGGTTTGGTTGCCATGGCGTGATGCTGGTGCGGCTTCTTTCATCAGCTCCAAGCATTTATCCACCTTTTCCTGTTTTTGGAGGTTAACATGAATGATTCAAGACCGGGATTGAACAGAGATTCAGAATGGGTTAAAAAGATCACTTAAGCTCGGAGGCAATAACGATACCATATCGATTTTAGCCATGCCCTTAAGCTGGTTTCGATACAACTCTGTAAGGGACGGAGCGAAACTCGAGATAACATGCAGCATTGTAGCGGTAGCCATCACTGAAGGAAGGTATAACAGGAATCTAGAATCTGCAGGACAGGAACACATGAAACCAAACGATTTACCAATGTGTTCTACAGTTTTCAAGACTCCGAATCCATGTGTTAGCATAGTTCTAAAGGATTTGAGATGTGAGAATAGTGAATTGACCTGAAATGACAGAGATCAGTACGAGCTCACATCTCCTGGCCAATTCCGAAGAGAGGAAATCCTTCAAGCCAAGTCTCATTATGAAGTAATCAAGAAATGAGAGAGCAGTTACAGGATGCATCCGCCATTGGAGAGCAGAAAGAACCAAAATCTCCATTTTATGTATTGCTTTGGCCTCAAACATATACTTACTCTCCTCCACCTAGAGAAGCAACAGATTCAATGGATTTCCAAAAATTAATTCGCAAGAAATGCAGAAAGGGATCTGAGTTATATAGCTTAATGAAAGTTAAACAAAACCCAGAAACAATTTTCCACAAAGTAATAGAAGGTTTCTAACTTAAATCAAGCAAACGAGATCAAGCAGGCCATAATAAGGGGTTTAGCACAAACTAAGAGAAAACCCACTTCAGATGCTTGTCTGAACAATTACGGGTCTCAGCTGAACCTAACAAAACGAAATCAAGTTTTGATCTTTGATGGAGACAAAAGGGTTTAAGCATAAACTAAGAAAATGCTTATCTGAACAATCATGGGTTTCAGCTCGAAGGAAAAAAAAGAAGTTTTTTTAAGTCTATTAACTTACTTGAATGTCTAACAGAAGAGGGACATCCACCTCTTCCACTTTGGCTGCAAGAGAGAGACAAGCCACAGCAGTCAATTGGCTCATCCATGGCTTCTCCGCCTGAAAATGGATGTCAGAGAAGAACCTATCGAAGTAGTTCACTGCGAGAAGCGCAGTGAGGGCAGAGAAAGAGTAATGGGAGACAACTCGAAGGATCCAATCCACAGCCTCAATCCGGGCTTGGTTCAGACATGGGTCGGGTTCTAGGGTTTTCAGTTCTTCTTTGGACAACAAAGCAGAAAGCTCCTCATCTTCACACCACAACAAATCCTGGCCTACCGAAACAGGAAATAGGTCATCGTCACCGCCATTCACGACAGAGAAGCTCTCTTCTTCGTGTTCTCCGAGCTCTTCCCAGCTTTCCTCGCAACAGTAGAGGGAATCGCGACAGAAGAGGGGAGGTTTCAGTTGAGGTTCCTGTGTCTTGTCCTGTTGGGTAGATTCTTGAACATCAGACACAAATCTAGCCATTTTCGGTTCACTGCTTCTTCTGCAAAGAAGAAGAGAAATAGATCTGCTTTCATGGTAGAGAAGAAAAGGAGGCGGAGGAGGAGGAGGAGAATGGTTGAACCATCTCCTTCTCTTTTTTTTGTCCCTTTTTTTTTCCTTATTTATGTAATTTGGTGATAAAGAGAAAAATGGACAGAGATGGAGAAAGAAGAATCTGAAAGAGTAGAGAGGGGAATGGTGAAGGAGCAGACGCTACGTTGTAGGCTCTCTCCTTTACACCTTTATATATACATCTACGTCCGTATACATTTTGCGCACATATACGTATACGTACATATACGTATACGCCTATGTACATCTACGTGTATATATATATATATATACTTTCCCTAAATAGGCATAATCGCATATAAATAACTAAACTTTTACAAAATTCTCAAATAAATACATGAACTACAAAATTCCAAAATCAATACCTAAACTTTTTAAAACTTCCATATAAATACTTAAAAAATTATTGTATTTGAAAGTTTTTTAAAAGTTTGAGTATTTATATGGAAGTTTTGAAAAGTTTGGATATTTATTTAGGAATTTTGTACAAGTTCAGATATTTATATGAGATTAGCCCTAAATAAAATAAATTTAGAACTTTTATTTTTGTGGATGAGATTAAGGACCAAAGCTGTAACCAACAGATAGCTTATTTAAATAGAAAATCTCAAAATAATATCTAAATTTTTTAATTTTCACAAAATAAAATCTAAACTTTGTTTTTTATCAAATAAAACCTCAATTTTATTAACCTGAATTTTATAATCTTTGTAATTTTTAACCCTATTGCTGACGTGACGTTCTGATATCGTGACATGTGGACGATGATATATCAAATACGTAGACGATAATATATCAAATACGATTAAAGTTTAGGTTTATTTTTGACTGAAAAATAAAGTCAGAATTTTATTTGATAAAAAACAAAGTTTATGTTTTATTTTGTGAAAATTGAAAAGTTCAGATATTATTTTGGGATATTCCCTTATTTTAACTGGGAAAATATACAATATTTTTTTTCTAAAAGGAAATGCTATAATTTTATTAGACCAACTAAAGCAAATCACTTATATGAAAATTTAGGTATTTGATTGTGTATTATTTAAATCTATGACTTAATTATATATATATATTTTTTTTATGAAATGTATAAAATTTAGTTTTCCTTGAAACAGGGCGCAAGAAAAGAATAAACAAGTGATGCGTACTGATCAACCAACAAAAATAGCCGAATGAATAAAGTCCAACTATATATACACTAAAATACACACTCAGTACTGTAACGCTTCCTAATCAATTTCACCCTTCACTCTTACACTACCTGCATTATATGACGTCATAAAAAAAATGACCCCAAGAAAATATTAATTAACGAAAAAAAAGAAAAAAACATTGCGTCTTTGTAATGTATGCATATTGTATAAATGCCACGTCGGTTCGACAAAAAAGCCCAGATCCCATGAAGGCCCATTCCACTCTGCCCAAACCTGATAATAAATGAGCTTATATAATTACCAGAAGGCCCATCGAATTCGGCCCAATACCGTTGATAAGTGAGTCCAGCTATCTACTGATAAACTAATCCACAGGCCCAGTAAACGACCCATATTTCGATGATAAGTGGGCCCAGTTATCTCCGGCGCTTGACTCTTCTCACCGATCGCTTTCTCGGTCATAACCGCCATTGACGGCTCGAGAATGAGCTCTCTTCACTTCCTCAGACCCCTCCCGCTCCTCCGCAACGGCCTTCTCAGCCACCCTTTCCACCGCCGTGTCTCCGCCTGTGGAATCTTCTCTCACTGTAGGCGTCTCTGGTGCTCGCTCGCCGAGCAACCGCCGCGGCCGGATGCGGGAGATGATTCGGCGCCGGAGAAAATCTCCGCCCCGGTGACCGATACGGCGTCTCTTGGTTACGCTCGTTTTGAGGATCCATTCTATCGGAAGTGGAAGGACGTGGAGGCGGAGATTCTTCGGGATATTGACCCAATAACGTTTCTCGTCAAAGAAATTCTTCACTCTGAAAGGTAATTTTTAGCTTCCACGTGATAGGAATGTGGGATGAACTCAATGCTTGAATGTGAAGTGTTAGAATTTTAGTATGAATTTCGAGCACAAACTTAGGTGGTTGGATAATCTGTGATTGATCTGAAGTAATGTGATTAAGTTTTAATGATTGGGAAGATCTTTGTTCTGTGTTTGGATGAGTCTCGGAATCATGATCATGTCTATTGAAAGCTCTGAAGAGTGAGAATGGTGGCAGTAGTTTGGTTATATTTTTTTTGGTGTAACCAAGTTTTATAAACCTTGACCAGATTAATCTGGGGTCGGGTCACTCATATGATTTGAAATATACGCCATTTTCCCAAACTTAAGATTCAAACTCGGAACAGAACATACGTTCGCATCCCTCTCTCCGGTTGAACTACCAAGTTTGAGTTTTTGGTTATTATCATCTCATATCGGAATCCTAAAAGGTTGATTTACAGAAGCATAGCTCTTGATGAAAGAATCCAAGACAATGAAATGTTCCTTTCTCATGAAAATTTCTCGGGATCGAATTATAGAATAATGAAAATGTATCTAGGTTTTGTGTTTCGTCCACTGTAATGGGTTTGGAGCTGGCTTTGCCTACTTCATTGTCTCGGATGTTTTCATCTGATATTTTTTTCCTTCTTCTTGCTAGTAGGTATGAAGATGGAGAACGCTTAACATATGACAACGAGAATTTCGTGGTGGAAAAGCTTCTTGCGTTTCACCCCCACTCCGAAGATAAAATCGGCTGTGGCCTCGATTTTATAATGGTATGTTTAGGTTGCTCAATACACTCGAGTCTTGAATGTTCTCCACCGAGTTTTGCTCGTGCTTGTTAGCTAGGACTAGAGGCATCAATGGTGTTCATCTTGCTTCTTCCTCGACATGGTATTGGATTGATTCTTGAGTTGCAAAGGTTGATACTTTTATAAATGGTTGGCATGATTTCCTTTGTAATGTGCCAAACATGCAGCATCTTGAACTGTTCCTTATATCTAAGAATGTGAACTACAAGAATAGTGATAGGGAATAAATATCCATTGATGTATGTGTCTAGAGCTCTTCTCTTTGTTCTATAGACTCGTTCCGAGAAACCCTTTTATCACACTTCACGTTTGTGCGTCTCCCATCTCGTTAACTTCCCATCCGATTTCCCGGTTGTGTAATATCCGCTCGGTTGCATTTGAATCTCTTGAAATTAACTGCTGAAACTGATTACCGTTTCATATTTTAACGATTTCGCTCTCAGGTTGATCGGCATCCTCAGTTCAGACACTCGAGGTGCCTCTTCGTTGTCAGAACCGATGGTGGGTGGATCGATTTCTCTTACCAGAAGTGTCTCCGAGCTTACGTACGAGATAAGTACCCTTCTCACGCTGAAAGATTTATCAGAGAACATCTGAAACGCCGTAGTAACTAAACAAAACGACTGATGAGTTCCTCTGCTGCTACTACTAGTTGCCATTATAGATTCTGTTTTTGCAATGTCATTACATCAGTGAAGTTCACTGAGACAACTTTTTTTTTTTTGCTGCCTCTTGTGATTGAGATGTTAGATTTTGAACTGTATAACTACTTAGATGCGCGAGTGATTATGTTGTTTCGATCATACCGCTGACAGATTTTAAATCAATGGGACAATGGAAAAGGCTCTTCAGGTTTTGGTGACGGTTTTTTGATTAATGGGACTGCTGTGTTTTTTTTGTTGTTATAACTTTAGTTTTTTGGTTAATAGGAGGTAAAAAAACAAACCAGATATTACAGTGTTTTATTTTGTTAAGCATTTAATTAAACCGATGGTACAGATCATAAGTTTATTCTGTTAAGTTTTACCTAAATAAAATCATGTAAATCTTGTCATCAAAATTTTTTACTGTTTGCAAGTGGTGTCAATTTAGGTGGCTCGAGCGCATCCGAAAAATATTGGGAAAAAAAATCGGACTTTCGAATTGGGTTCAAAATCGGGTTTCGGATTAACCCGAAAGCCAGATATAGTTTTTTTTAAAAAAAAATCAATACAGAAAAGTGTTTACAATGAAAATTTTGAACGATCTGACCCGGTTCGAAAAAATTTGGGTCGGGTCGGATCTCTCCGACCCGATTGATGTTTTCATATAGCAAGATCACCATCAAAAGGCAAAAGAAATGGGCATAAACATTAGGTATTTGGGGCGGGCAAAATATCCAAAATACCATCTTCTTATTAAAACTACTTCTGCATATAACTTTCTCCGACCAAAATAATTGTACGATTACATTGGTCACAACGTTAAATTTATGATGATTTCACCAAATGATTAGTGTGATATGTAAAGTGTGATCACCATAAATTTAACGTTATGACCAATGTGATAATTATGTGACAATACAGTTATTCTGGTCATATGATCATATTTAGAAGAAAAAAAATATGTACATAAAGTAGTTTTAGTAGAAAGATGATATTTTGGATAATGTCGCATTAGAAGGATTTAGTTGAGAAAAGTTTAACAGACAAGTTATCCGTAGAACTTTGTCATTGCAAAAATTACATTTCTACACTTTTTTATGAAATTTTACGTGTAAAGTTCTTAAGAATCGTTAGATGACGGTCCCATCATCCCAAAAGTTTTTGATAGATTAATAATGAAATGAAAAAAAAAATACGAAGATTGTAACGTAACTAGGGCTTCGTATACGACCAAGCCGAGCAAAGATATAATGTATCACATTTAGAAAACAAGTAATAATTGTAAGCACAGAATTAATTAACGAACGTTTATAATGATTACTATTGACAGAATGTTTTATATAAAATACTTTAATCTAAAATCAATAATGTTTATTAAAAAAATTTCTATCTGTACAAATATTTTTTTTTTACAAATATATTTGCCTATACACGCATCCGCTCCTGTAGAAAATTTAGTTTTTATCTCTACAAATGTTTTTGGGCGTCTACAAATAAATATCACATCCGCTTCTCTTCACCTGCTTCTAGCTTCGTTCATCTTTATCCTCTAATGTGTTCCCTTTCTGGCCGCCACTGAAATTTCGCCTCGTCTTCATGAATATGGTCGGCATTACCGTAATCGAACTGGTCCAAAAATTCTTTATCCAATCTACCGTCGTATACCATATCTATTATCAAACTCATAATCGACGCATCTGGCAAAAATCCACGGCTTTTCATTTCTCGTACCAACTCAACAACTTCCGATGAAGAGCCATTTCTCAGATGACCTCGGATCAATGTGTTAAACGTACAGTCACTCGGTAAACAACCGGCCTCTTTCATATCTCTGAACAGCTTTTGAGCTTCATCGAGTAAACCTTTACTACAAAGTCCAAAGATCATTATGTTATACGTCCTAACATTCGGTTCTACCCCTTTATCGAAAAGCTTGACAAATAGTCCCACCGCTTCATCAACCTTCTCGGCCTTACACAAGCCATGAATGATAGAATTATGTGGAACTATATTAAGGTCCATACCGCTCTTTTCCATCTCATAGTATAATTCCAATGCCTCTTCTAACTTTCCATTTTTACATAGCCCATCAAGAAAAACGCTATAAGTTACAAGATCGAGACAAGGACCGTGACGCTGCATCTCCACGAAAAGCGTTTCGGCAACATCAAGTTTGCCAGCTCGACAAAACCCTTGGATGAGTGAGGTGTAAGTATTTGTATCGGGGATCACTCTTCTTCGAGACATCTCACTAAAGAGCTCCATAGCCTCGTCAATCCTACCGGATTTGCAGTATCCATTAACGAGAACATTACAAGTTACAACATTTGGAAAACATCCCTTGCTGATCATATAATCAAACATCTCTTTTGCTTCATCAAGACGATTCTGCATGCAAAACCCATCTATCAACGAAGTATAAGTGAATGTATCCGGATTCAAACCTCTTTGAATCATCTCCATATACAGATCTTTAGCCTCTGCAAATCTCTCCTCTTTAATGAAGTTATCGATTAATCCGGTGAAAGTGACAACATCAGGGGTGATTTTCCGGCTGGTCATACCTTTCAACAATTGTGAGGCATCGTTCCATCTACCATAACTACAAAGGCAGTTTATCAAAGTGTTGTAGGTGATAACATCCGGTGCAATTCCTCGATCGTCCATCTTACTAAAAATGTCAAGGGCATCATCTATGTTTCCAACTTTGCAAAGACAATCGATAATCGTTGTATAAGTTACGACATCGACCTCGATGGTCCTTTCTTCCATCTTCTTGATCAAGTTCAAAGCTAAAGCAGAATCCCCTAATTTACAAATCCCATTCACAACAACGTTATAAGTAACTGTGTTGGGTTGACAACCTCTCTCTGCCATCCGATCAACCAAAATACCTGCCTCGTAAACTCTACCCTCGAGAAAAAGTCCTTTGACAACTGTGGTAAATGTTACGACATCGGGTTTATGTCCAACATCCACCATCCGCTCCATCAAGTCTAACGCTGCAGAAATTTGACCTCCGATACAGAATCCATTGATTAGCGTATTGAATGTGACAACATCAGGATCATAACCCAACTTCATGATCTTTCCAAAAACCGAAAACCCTAAGACCACTTGACATGAGCGGCAGAAACAGTTGATCATAATATTCAAAGTGTAGAGATCACGTGAAACACCGAGCAATTCCATTCGCTTGCAAAGAAAAATTGCGATATCGAACCGTTTCATCTTAACGATTGCACTCAATAATTTATTGAAATCGATAGTCGAAGGGAGAGGGCGAGACTGAAGCATCTGATGAAACAAAGCAACTGCATCATCAACATTACCATTACCAAAACCACATCTCAATCTCCCTCCGTACGACATATCGCTGTCTCTAACACAAGAATAAGCCAATCTCCGACAACATGAAACAGAGGAGCATCGAAAAGCTGTGTCGAACATACCTTTGTCCGAGAGAAGAGTACGAATGAAACTTGACGAAGAGGAGGATGTAACAGCAAACACTCTCCGAACAATCGGCAACATCTTTGAATTTCAGCAGAAATGCTGAATCGGAAACGGAAACAGAGAGCTAAGGGAGATTCCCCAATTCTATGAACCCTAGAACGAAATTATTTGGGTCAGTGTGTGTGGAAAGAAGAAAGCCCAAAATCAGAAACTAAAAATCGTTTGGACCGTTGGGCCTTTTGTTTATCTATTGGGCTTTGTGTTGAGATTTCTTGTTCTTAGATACTTGTATCTCAATCAAATTCGAATTATAAAATGAATTGATATATTTTGTCTACAATGAAATTAATCGATTTTATTTTTAATATAAAATCATTGAAAAACGAATCGAATGAGTTTTTTTAATTAAATATTTTTAATGATAATTTATATTTATGCACAATTTGACCCAAATAAAGATTAATATAAAAACTTAGTTTTTATAGAAAAATATTCCCAAATAATGAAATATATCATAATGTCTAATCTGAATTTCATGACACAAAAGGAAATCCACGCTTTGTTTTTTCAAAATTTTAGTTATCCCTATCCACATTTAAATTACGAGAGAAATATGAAACATGATCTTGTGGGTTTTCCAAGTATAACTTCAAAACGGTTTTGTTTTTTTTTTGGAACATGATGTTGATTTTTTTTAGGAACCATTAACAGATCGATATCTAGTTAATTCGTTAAATTATTTAAATTGGGTCAAAAAATTTCCATAAATTTATTATTATATATTAAATGCCAAATTCATACGCATCAACCACTCGACCTTTCACGCCTTTTTTGTGCATCTCCTTCCGCACATGTCTCTTATGATTTGTCAACTGCCTCAATTTTCAATTTTCTATTATTTCCTCTCTCTCTTTTTTTTTATAATTCTTATTGCTTTTACAATAATAATTTAATGAGAAAAAAGTTTGTGAATAATAATTCAATGGAAATTTTGCTTTTATTTTATATCATTAAGTACGGGGCGTCAAAGGGGGATGAACCCCCCGTTGGTTTTTTTATTAAATGGAAAAAAGAAGGAACTTATCACACGAGATTAATCTAAAATATCTTATTTCGAGTTTGATATTTTTATAATAATAATAATGATATAATTATTGTTTTTATCACCCAACTTGCGAAGGATTTGTACGCAAAGAGGTTCGTGGATGGATAACGACGTTTCTCGAACATTATCTATTCTACTTTCTTTTTCAACATTGAAAACATCTATGTGAATTACGAATTAAAATATTTTTTTTGTATAAATTGAAAATATATTAATTATATTTAATCCCTCTCGGCCCTTTACAACTCACCGCCATTCCTTTAACCACACAATAATCTCATCATTATTCTTATCTTATTTTAATGATCAAATGTTATTATAAATCATCCTGACTATTCAATTCTTACAAATACCCGTAGAAGTTAACGATGATTAATTTAATCTAAAAATCCATACATCTAGAGCTATTTTATCTTTTCTTTTTTAATATCTATATATATATATATATATATATATATATATCATTTCTCCAATTAAAATTACCATATATTCACATTACTTATATTAAAGTTATGATAGCATCGCGAGAAGCTTTCCAACTTCACAAGGAAACTCTTCCACGGATTTTAGAAACATACAAATGATGGAGAAGTTTATGAGAGAAAAAAAACCCAAGAATATAGTATTTTTCTCAATTATTTTATATTTATTTTAGATTTTAATTTAAAATTTTATAATTTGATATTAATTTAATTTAACAAAAAACGTATTAATATTATTTTCTAAATTTAATTTATTTATTTTAGCTTTAAATACTATCTAGATTAATTTAGTATGGATATAATTATATATTATTTACATCATATGCAAACACGATATTACAAAAAGAGCTCTGAACTTGCACGAAACTTGTAAAGATTGAAACAAAAATCATTCCAGAGTATCATAAAGAATCTCAGCGTACAGACAAATTCTCTCCACGCGCGTGTGATTAACGGTTCACCACGCGCTCCTATTTGTGTGGACATGATATTTTCCTTTAACCAATAAGATCCATCCTTTATCGTCTTAGCTGTCCCACCCCCATATTTGTATTTTAACCAATAATTGACCCCATAAAATTATAACATTTATTTTACCCCCCATTCCTATTTCTTTATTCACTTAATTATAAAAATAACATCTATTTCACAGTAATCAAATCAAATTTTTTTTACCACTCAAAAGAAATTAAAAATACCTGGTCCATTGATTTGTTTTTTTTATGATATAATATCCAATATGAGTTTCAGTGAATATCATTGTAATAAATTTAAAATTCATTAGTGTGTAAATATCATCCAGATAATTACATAGAATTATCCAACCAACAATAATTTACTAATTTTGAAACTTTCTGGATAATACTTATAGATGTATTTTGAGCAATAATAAATTTTTAAAATGGTTAAGACGAATTTAAATTAAAAATTATATTTGTCCGGCCGCTAAGTTTTTGTGGCGATTCAAAATTATTAATTTACAGTATTTCCCCTAAAGTTTATATTATTTTCACTTTAGGCTATATTGTTCTTAATTTTTACAATGATAAAATAGAAACGATAAGGCCAAAGAAGAAAATAAAAAGAAAAAAGGTTAACAGTTGTTGCTTTTCTTCTCTTTATATATACCGATCTGCCTTTGTGCATCACACAATCGTCTTCTTCTCCTTCTCTGAAAAAAAAAAAGCAGTTCGAAACAAAAAAAAAGTGAACAATGGGTTTGGTAAAGCCAGTTTTGGCGATCCTCTTTCTGACGGTAATCTCCTTATCGTCGGCGATGGATATGTCGATCATCTCCTACGACGAGAAGCACCACGTATCCGGCGGCGGCGGCGGTCGGAGCGAGGTGGATACGGCGGCGTTGTACGAGGCGTGGCTTGTGAAGCACGGAAAGTTCTACAACGCCCTGGGAGAGAAGGACCGGAGATTCGAGATCTTCAAGGAAAACCTCCGATTCATCGACGAACACAACGCGAAGAACCTGAGTTACAGGCTCGGTCTGACTCGGTTCGCCGATCTGACAAACGAAGAGTACCGATCCATGTACTTGGGGGCTAAACCTCACAAGAGGACCCTCAGGACGAGCGATCGGTACCAGCCGCGTGTCAGCGACGCGCTTCCGGACTCCGTTGACTGGAGGAAGGAAGGTGCGGTCTCCGACGTGAAGGATCAGGGAAGCTGCGGTAAGATTTTTCGAATTCCTCGAGCTTTACTTGTTACGTTTGTTTGGGGATTTGAACGTATATGAGTGTTTATGAGCTGAAAAATACCCACCTGAATTTGTTTGTTAGATATCTCTATTTTAGTTTAGATCGATTAAATTTCATAAATCCTCACTAACAATCCATAATCTGACAAAATCTGAGACTGATATTCAAATCTGTAAAATAGCAGAAGAGATGGATTAGAGAATGGTGAATTTTACTTCATCAACAGCCATTTGACAAATCAGGGTTCAGTTGGGAATTTGGGTACCGTGTAGTGGGGACGAATGTTAAGATATTTTTCATCTAGAGATTGTTTTCTGTCTCTTTGATTCTTTCAAATTTTTTTCTCGAGATTTGTGTAAGGTCGTATTTACCCATTGAAGAGCTGCTCCGGGAATGATGGCTTTGGTCTCACTTTTTGACTTTTTGGTGCCTTGAGCTGATTACTTGTCGAGATTAAACACCGTTTGATGATTTGTCAACTATTAGTTAGGTTGATTAAGAATAAAAAAAAAATCAAGAAGTATCCAGTGCCTGATAATTTGTGATTTATTCTTCGGTAGCTTGCTTCATCTGTCAAACCCACTTCCTCTGGGCTTTAGTTGAATTTTGGTAGTAGATAAAAATCTCATCTTGATTTGATTGTGATGCTTCATAATGTTCCTGCTCCATGCTTTGTCTTTAAACTGGTAATGGAGAAAGCTAGCATGGACCCACCCATTGAAATTAATCGAATTTGATTTATTACCATCCAGAGATATCAGATCTTGGGACATTTGATTGATTCACTGTCACCAAATGGTGATGTATATTGAAGCTGGTGATTTCTGAAAATCTTTTTTTTTTACTCTGTCTGGTAATGAAGGGAGTTGCTGGGCATTCTCTGCGATTGGAGCTGTTGAGGGCATCAACAAGATTGTGACAGGAGACTTGATCTCGTTGTCTGAACAGGAGCTCGTTGACTGTGACACATCATACAACGAAGGCTGCAATGGCGGTCTCATGGACTATGCCTTTGATTTCATCATCAACAACGGCGGTATTGACACCGAGGATGATTATCCCTACAAGGGTACTGATGGTCGCTGTGACCAGAACAGGGTTAGTACTCGTTTCCTTCAAAAGCCATAAGAAAAGCATAACCAAAAACCTCGATTCATGTTGCTTGGTTTTGGTTGCAGAAAAACGCCAAGGTTGTCACGATCGATTCTTACGAGGATGTTCCCGTGAATGATGAGAAAGCCCTGAAGAAGGCAGTTGCTAATCAGCCCGTAAGTGTCGCCATCGAGGCTGGTGGCCGTGCATTCCAGCTCTATGACTCGGTAATTACTGACCCATCTTCTCGAAAGACATGATCATCAACTTAGACCCGCGAAAGTGCATTCAAAATGCTTAAATGTGGTTATCATCCCTAGGGTGTATTCGATGGAATCTGTGGAACGGAGCTTGACCACGGAGTTGTAGCTGTTGGCTACGGAACTGAGAACGGGAAAGACTACTGGATCGTACGAAACTCGTGGGGGAAGAACTGGGGAGAGAGCGGATACCTAAGGATGGCACGTAACATCGAGGCATCGACGGGAAAATGCGGGATCGCGATGGAAGCGTCGTACCCGATCAAGAAAGGTCAGAACCCACCAAACCCGGGACCTTCTCCGCCGTCCCCAGTGAAGCCTCCGACCGTTTGTGACAATTACTACACATGTCCCGAGAGCAACACTTGCTGCTGTCTCTTCAAGTACGGAAAGTACTGCTTCGCCTGGGGGTGCTGCCCGCTGGAGGCCGCCACCTGCTGCGAGGACAACAGCAGCTGCTGCCCTCACGATTTCCCCGTCTGCAACGTCAAGCAAGGAACTTGTCTCATGGTAAGAACGACCCAAAAAAACACAAGTTTTACCGAGAAATCGGACATTTTTTAAAGTTCTTTTTCCGTGATCTCGGGTTTTTTCGTGGTTTTGGCAGAGCAAGAACAATCCGATGAGCGTGAAGGCGTTGAAACGCACGCCAGCGAAGCCGTTCTGGTCGCAGGGCAGGAAGAACGTCGCTTGAGAGGAAGAGAAGGCCTTTCTCATGGATAATGTTATTTATAATCATCATCAGGCTCTAATGTTGTTGTTACTTGTCTCATGTAAATAACTTTTCAGTTCATCATTCAAAAAAGACCAGACCAGGAACAGGTTGGGTTTCAGACAAGCAGACTCATTATCGAATTTTTAATTTCCGTTATTATTTGGGTGATCATTTTAGATCTTGGTCAAATTTCGTTTATTTTGGCTTTTAAAAAGTTATAACAATTTAGTTTTTAAATTGAATTCGTTTTGATTCGATTTAATTTTATTTCAGTTCTTTTCCAGACTTTAGTAATAAAAATGTTTATTTTAAAAAAGTTTTTTGGTTTTTCAATTGTTTTTTTATTTGATTTGGTTACAAAAATGATTTGGGTACTTTTGGTTTGGTTAGATATATTTGATTTTGGTATGTTTTATTCATTTAGTATAACATTAATTATGGTTAGAAAGACCGGATTAGCAGTAGCCACATGCTTTAATAATGGTTAATTAGAGAGAGAAACAAAGCTTTCAAGTAGTTAATTCCCTCCATTACCAATCTATACGCAACAGTTTCCCTAACTGGACGATGAATTAGCTCCGGAGGCTTTTTTCGGATGGCCATATCGTCGGAGCTCCGGCGACGATCGTCGATCCGGTTCGAGATTGCTGGTTGAATCTGACGGCTCATCGGATCACACGTTGCGATTACCACACGAGTGCTTGGTTTGCGTATTCTGTTTACTTAGCTCCGGCGGCCGGAATCGTTGTTCTCTCGTTTGCCGGCTGTGGAGGCGCGAAGCCGTCTCCGTCTATCGCTGTGTGCAAAATCGGATCTGTTTCTCGATATCCCTTCCCCGTTTTTCCGATTCGATTCCGTTACGAAAGCTTACGCTGAAATGCGAGCGTGGATCCGTAAGAATTGGCGACGAATCGGTTACCATGATCAATTCTGGTATCGGAACCTGACAAGATTGAAGATCCGAGGATGTCGTGAGATCACAGTAGCCGGCATGAAGGGTTTCTCCGAGAACTGCTAGGGGTTGAAGACATTCACGTGTGAGTCTTGTGGTTTTGGTTCCGAATGCGTGAAGGCTTCCTCGATCGTTGCTCGAATCTGGTGGGATTGTTGGTTAAGCGCCGGCGAAGCTTTGGAATCGATCGGACCAGGAGGCGCCGCTTCTTCTTGGAGGAGCTTTACCTCGGAAGCTGATTCGATCCGGTCATCACCGGCGGACGGAATCTCAGAACGCTAAAGCTTGTCATATGGGCCGACCACTGGGACAAGATTCTGCAAGAGATGGCAGAACAAGTTCCTGGTTTGGTGGAGATTCATCTCGGACGGATCAACGCGACCGATCATGCTCTTACCGGAATCTCTAATTGTTCGGCCCTTGAGATTCTTCACCTCGTGAAAACACCCGAGTGCACCAATATCAGATTAGCCACCACTGCAGAGAAATGTAAGTTCCTGAGAAAGCTTCACATCGTTTTGCACAGAGGGCAGTGGCCAAGTTTTGCCCTCAGTTTTTTGCCCCAAAAAAAAAAAAAAGTTTTGCCCTCAGTTAGAAGAACTAGTTCTGATTGGCGTGAACCCAACAAATCTTGTCTTCTAAATGTCGGAACCTCGAGAAACTAGCATTGTGTTGTAGTAGTATTGCCAGGAAATGCACATCTTTGAAGAAGATATGTATCAAGAACTGTCTGGTTTCTGGCTTGGGAATAAAACTAAAGCCATTGTCAAAGGTTGCCCCGGTTTGGTGAAAATATAGTCATTAAGTACGGGCGAGTGTTCGGATTGTTTACGCCTACACTTTCCGCGAATATAGACGCCATGGGATCAAGTCATAACGATGGTGGGTTAGAAGAAACTGTGATTAAGTTCCCTCCTTTACACACCCAAATTAATCACGACCCACGCTTTTATTTGCGAATCCTTTTGTTTAATCTGCAAATTTTGGATTTTTTTCCCGCAGTTTATCGCAAATGTTCAAGCAGTCATAGTTGCTTACCGTCTTTGAAGTCGCGGGTACTCCATTTCAACCAGAGGAAAGTAGTGGCTTGGACTCATTTTATCCAAATCTCTAAGGTCTCACTCTCTTTCTCTGCATTTTTCCTTCTCCTTTTTCAGGGCCGGTTCATCTGCCCATCGGTATAGGTTGAACCGGGCATGGAAATTCTTCCATGGGAGTGTATTGCACGAAACAATACTCAGTTTCTTCAGATTCAGTTACGATTATAATTAAGTTTGATGAGATTTAGAGATTCCAGCAATCTTATGATTTCAACCGACCATTGGATGAACCGTGCGAAAAGGGTAAGTCGTATTGATCTTGGTCGATTTATTTCTACCGTTGTAGTTACTCGTCAAGGGTCAAGAACGATTTGTCCACTTGCATCAATAGAGACATACATGGTCACTTACTTTCAGGCAAAACTATAATGCTTACGTTTATGAGGCAGAGCACCTATAATGTACCCTTTGCTTTTACATATGTGTGGGACTTCATCTTGGTGAAAGGCTTTGGCCTAGGCAGGGGACCACAGACTCATCAAGCAGTACATGTATATTTATATATATATATATAAATATATATATGTGTGTGTGTAAAGGCAAGTGGATTGGAAAACACTTTATCGAGTGGTCAATTCGTATAATTCTTCGGATCTCCATTTGATAACATGACATCATTTACATTCACCAATATAGTTCATGCATGGTAACTATATATATACATACATATCAATCAAAATGTGTACAAAAGCGTTAGTTGTGCATGGGGCAAACATTAATATACAATACATTAATACATTTATCATATATACCCACCTCATGATAAGGAACACCGAAGCTTTGCGGATTCAAATTCAGTAGGACCCTGATTCAGTCATTGCCACAAGTAAAGATCAGAAGCTGCTATATTTTGTATCAGTGTAATCGTACAGTTCATAAAATCTAGTGATTAGTGCCATTTTTGATAAAATCGATATTCTTTATATATACTTATATTTTAGTCGATTTATTTCTACCGTTGTAGTTACTCGTCAAGGGTCAAGAACGATTTGTCCACTTGCATCAATAGAGACATACATGGTCACTTACTTTCAGGCAAAACTATAATGCTTACGTTTATGAGGCAGAGCACCTATAATGTACCCTTTGCTTTTACATATGTGTGGGACTTCATCTTGGTGAAAGGCTTTGGCCTAGGCAGGGGACCACAGACTCATCAAGCAGTACATGTATATTTATATATATATATATAAATATATATATGTGTGTGTGTAAAGGCAAGTGGATTGGAAAACACTTTATCGAGTGGTCAATTCGTATAATTCTTCGGATCTCCATTTGATAACATGACATCATTTACATTCACCAATATAGTTCATGCATGGTAACTATATATATACATACATATCAATCAAAATGTGTACAAAAGCGTTAGTTGTGCATGGGGCAAACATTAATATACAATACATTAATACATTTATCATATATACCCACCTCATGATAAGGAACACCGAAGCTTTGCGGATTCAAATTCAGTAGGACCCTGATTCAGTCATTGCCACAAGTAAAGATCAGAAGCTGCTATATTTTGTATCAGTGTAATCGTACAGTTCATAAAATCTAGTGATTAGTGCCATTTTTGATAAAATCGATATTCTTTATATATACTTATATTTTATATATATATATATATGCATCGTCATCCTTTTTCAGTGTTCACGTGACTCTGAGCTTGCAGCCCGACAGCTATTCTCTTTGTTTTCTCACGTCCCTTTGTCACGTACTGCTTGCTTCTTCACCGTTCTCTCTCTCTCTCTAAATAGTTTTGCAAGTAACCAAACAAATCCGATTTCGTAATCAGACATCATGGTCGCCATCGTCATGCTTCTTCTGTAATAAAGCCACTGCAGAAAATGCTCCCCAGAAACATACCCGTCTCTGGGTTTCTTCTTCTCCTCACTCTCTCCGCCATTGTTGCAGCTTCCTCGAACCGATCACGTGTCGTGCTTCACCGCGACGCTTCAGCTCTCTTGCTGTTCAGATCCGAAGCCGACTTGTGGAACAACAAGCTCGGTTACTTGAGCAACACGAGCTCCAAGTTCTGTCAATGGTGGGGTGTCACATGCTACGGCAACAGAGTCGTGCGTCTCGTCGTCGAAGATCTCTTCCTCGGTGGCCGACTTGCTCCCGACTCAGTGAGTCGACTCGACCAGCTCCGAGTCCTCAGCCTCCGAAACAACTCGCTCACTGGACCCGTCCCTGATTTCTCCGGTTTGGTTAACCTCAAGTCTCTGTTCCTCGATCACAACCACTTCTCCGGTTCGTTTCCGGTTTCGGTTCTCTCGCTCCACCGGCTAAGGACTGTTGACTTGTCTTTCAACAACCTCACCGGTCCGATCCCTTCCGGTTTAGCGTTTCTCGACCGGTTAACATCCCTCCGTCTCGAATCAAACCGGTTTAACGGAACCGTACCCGCTCTAAACCAGTCCTCGCTTCAATCGTTCAACGTCTCGGCTAACAACTTAACCGGCGCTGTACCGGTAACCGCCATTCTCCACCGGTTCGGCGTTTTTTCATTTCTGCGAAACCCTAACCTCTGCGGCGAGATCGTGCACAAGGAATGCCACCCACGGCCCAAATTCTTCGGCGAACCGGCAGAGATTGCGGCGGCGCCACCGCCGTCGATGGTGCTCGGAGAGAGCGCGCAGATCCGAGGCGTTGGGTTGACTCGGCCGAGTCACAGCAAGCACACGAGAATCGCCGTAATCCTAGGGTTTCTCTCCGGCGGGTTGATCCTCTTTGTCACGGTCGCGTGCCTCATCGCCGCCGTGAAGCGGCGGGGGGATGAGACCGGCGGGCGGTGGTGGCGCTGGACGCGGCGGAGACGGCGGAGGTGGCGGCGGCGATACAGATGGAGCAAGAGAGCGAGCTGGAGGAGAAGGTGAAGAAGATTCAGGCGGCGAAGAGTGGGAGCTTAGTATTCTGTGCGGGTGAGGTGCACCATTACTCGATGGACCAGCTAATGACTGCGTCTGCTGAGTTGTTGGGGAAAGGGACAGTGGGGACCACATACAAGGCGGTGCTTGACAACCGTTTGAGGGAAAGAGAAGTTTGTGCGTCACATGGAATCAGTCGGTGCGCTGAGACACCCTAACCTGGTCCCACTCAGAGCTTATTTCCAGGCTAAGGAAGAGAGGCTGTTGATCTACGATTATCTGCCAAATGGCAGCCTCTCATCGCTCGTCCACGGTAAGCTCTTTGGACCCTCTCACACTGTATACTTCCTTTTTTAATTATGTGTTTAGTATTTTAATCATGGCGATTAAGATTCTTTACTGAACTGAAGACATCAAGAATCTGTTGGATTGCGTGCGTGGGTTGGTGTTTTATTTAATTAGTGGTTACGAGATCTCTTCGGTTTCGGTTGTCGTTAGTTCATTATGGGCGTTTGAACACATTTAATGCAAGTCCTGTCCTCTGTTTTCTGACCAGCTTTACATCTACTCAGTGGTCTGATAATTTCTTTAATCGACCCATGTCATAAAGATTAAAGCTTTTCAGTTCCTCTTTGTTCCATGTCACCATTTTCATTGGAGTTCGAGTTTTATTGAAAAGATGACGTATTTATCACAGTACAGACATCAAAATCGTTATGGGTTTCGGTTATTTTACAGAAATTTTGCAACTTTAATGTCTGAGAGATTATGTAATATGTGGATCAATCGTTGGGTGGGAAAAAGTAAGGAAATTTTTTTGAACTTTGTAGGTACAAAATCGACGAGGGCAAAGCCATTGCACTGGACTTCATGCCTGAAAATAGCAGAGGATGTGGCTCAGGGCCTCTCCTACATTCACCAAGCGTGGAGACTCGTCCATGGTAACCTAAAATCCTCCAATGTCCTTCTCGGCCCCGACTTCGAGGCCTGTGTCGCCGACTACTGCCTCGTCCCACTCGCCACGAACCCTCCTCTCTCCGGGGATGAAAATGACGCGGATTCCGTCGCGTATAAAGCACCCGAAACCCGGCGTGGATCGAGCGCTCAGTCGGGGAAAGCGGACGTTTACTCGTTCGGGGTTCTGCTTCTGGAGCTTCTGACCGGGAAACAGCCTGCGAAGCTGCCCGTTTTGGCCGTGGATGAGATGGTGGAATGGGTGAGATCGGTGAGGGAGGACGGTCTCAGCAACGGCGGCGGTGGCGGAGGAGAAGAGGATAAGGATAAGTTCGGGATGCTGACGGAAGTGGCGGTGGCATGCAGTTCGGGATCGCAGGAACAGCGGCCGACGATGTGGCAAGTGCTGAAGATGTTGCAGGAGATCAAAGAGGTCGTGGTGATGGAAGACAGCGAACTGGAACTGGAACTGGCCGTGGATTCTTGCCATTCTGGAAACTCGTAGGTCTGATCAGTTCTTCGTTTCTGCGTTCGTTATTAACCGATATATCTCGTGTCTTTCTAACAGCCTAAAAATCCGTAATCGAAAGGAAATATGTTTTGTATTTAGTTTGATCTCAAGAAACTATCAAATCATAACCCAAAAATCTATGTTTCATTTTACATGTCTTAATCATATCAGGCAGTTGAGATCTTGTCAGTTGGTTATGTCGTAAACAACCTCCTTTCGGATCTAGTGTAATGGAAAAGGCAAAAGAGTTCAATGATTTTTTAAGATGTTATGGATCCATGTAGTGACAAAAAGAGTCCATAGAACCATATTTCTATAAAAGGCTACGGGTTCAATTCTAGTTTTCACCGAATATATCACCGATTTATTTGTTTAATGTGGTTTGTAGTCTATTATGTGAAGACTGGAAGTTTATCACCGCGTCGGAAAGACTGTGGTTGAATTCTCACAGTTATCCAAAATGAAAAAACTCTAATCTGAAATGCTGAATTATCTGTAAATCTTTTTCTTTTCATATCAATTATAACAACAACTAACATATAATACTGAAATTGAACAATTGTGTCCATGAAAATGGAAGAGTCGTCTGTATACCAAAAATTGATAAAAGTCTCATAGGTTAGTGTAGAAAACCTTCCCACAAAAACAAATGGGTGCTGTAGATTTTTTTTTAAATGTATTGTATGTTTCACTGTATTTTCTAATTCATTCATTAAAAATTAAAAAAAAATGGCCTAATAATATTCCTAGCCCTGTATATATTGCTCACATTTATATCCAACATTAAAATAATACTTGATACAATATTCATTATTATTCAGGTTATTTTGATTTTAGAAAAATTATAACCATTCGGTTCGTTATGGTTTAAGATTCTGTTCAATTTTTGTTTTTATTCGGTTTGGATCGAACTCAATTTTTTTTCGGTTTTAAAAAAATTACAATCATTCGATTTCTATACATGATTTAATCTGATTATGATTATATATTATTTAATTTGGATCTGTTCGATTATTAAGTTCTTAATCAAATTGATCTGAACTATAAAAAGCCAATGCGGACGATTTTTGAAACGTTATCGAAAACGTTGTGATGTGAGGAAAGAAGAATCTTCGTGTTCATCTCGATAGCAAAGAATCCACGATATAACCCTATCTCTCTTGGTTAATATTGGTTACAATCATTTTGTTTTTGTGATGGAAGATTTTTTATTTTTTTTTTGTTAAATCAATGCATATATATAACTGTGGATGTCAAAATGACTTTTTTTTTTATTAGAGGAGGAATTGAATGTGTCGGTTAGGAGTGGATTGACTTTTATTCTGTGAAAATTTTGTCGGCGGCTTGGATTGAAAAATACCGAACAACATTAAAACTTTTTGTCAACTACTAATAAATTTAAATTTAATATTTGTCTTTATAAAACAATCTAAACAAACTATAATATTTAGAGTTATTGATAAATTAAATCAACTTTTTTAAATAAGGCTTTTAAAGCATTTTCCTCAAATTTAGTGTACCTTTTTTAGACATGATAAAAAATAACAGACCGTTTGTTCTACAAGTCGGCCGTTTTGGTTAGTCCATCAAAATGGGAATGTTATATATATATATATATATACTAATTATTTCGTAAGTGATTGGATGTTTAATCTGTAGACGAAAGTCCAAGCCCAGAAGTTTTCTTATTAGTAATTTTTTTTTTTTGGGGGGGGGGGGGATAAATTTTTTCACACTGACGAGATTAAAAACTTTGAAAATAGTATAATTTAATTTTGAATTCTTTTTTTTTTCGTGCGGTTTGCTGATAGAAGAAGAGCAAATATTTATGGGGGGGAAAGCAAAAAAAAACTACAATAGGCAAATTAATAATCGGGGATCGGATTTGTCTCTGTCCCGAGCCTCTTTTGAATGTTGAGAAATTCACCTCGTGTAATGTAGAGCGAAACAATATACTTCGTGTGTACGTACGTATATATGTATGTACGTACCTATATATTCTCACCAACTAATATAATATATATATATATATATAATACATATATATACAGGTTACTATGAAAAGTAGAATCACAGTGAAATATGGGACGTAATTTTCGTGGAAATTGATAAACAAAGGTGTGATGGAAAACCAACACTTGACGTCTCAAAAGAGATAAGAAACTCATCGACGGAAGCTGACGGCTTTATAATTTGTCGGCTAAGCTTTGGTTTATCTTTGCGTACGTGTCAACCTTCCCAATAAAAAAAACCCACAAAAAAAAATATCACTCTCTTCTATATATACACACACATATACATATACACACGCACAATCTAAACCCTTAATTGTAATCTCTCTCTCATATACGCGCACGCGCACACAGAACAAACCATTTATTTTTCCTTTGGGGGGGTGGGCAATATATGGTGGACGAAGAAGAAGAGGAGGAGGAGGAAGAAGGGTTGATGTGCTCTACGGCGTCGTCTAGCCGGAAAACTCGCCGGAGAGACGGCGGAGAAACGGCTCCGTACAAAGGTGTACGGAGGAGGAAGTGGGGGAAATGGGTCGCTGAGATACGTGAACCAAACAAAAGGTCGCGTTTATGGTTAGGCTCTTACTCCTCCGCCGTCGCCGCCGCCAGGGCTTACGACATCGCCGTCTTCTACCTCCGTGGGCCCTCCGCCCGCCTCAATTTTCCCGACCTCTTGCCTCAAGATGTCGCCGACGCCGGCGACGGAGCCGTCATCTCTGCCGATGCCATAAGGAAGAAGGCGGCTGAGGTTGGCGCCACGCCCACCGTCACGGCCGCCGAAGCGGCGGAGTGTGATCAGGCGACCGAGGGGAAACCGGATTTGAATAAATTACCGGAACCGGAAGACATGTAGTATGTGTCTTTAGGGTTTTATTTTTCTCTTTTTCTTTTTTGGTATAGATCGTGAGACTCGAACCCGTGGTCGTTTCTATGAAAAACATCAGAATCCGAAGAGACATATATAACATATTAGGGTTTGCTATTTTTCCTTAGTTTTTTTTTTAATCGAGATCGAAAGAACGTGGATCCGTGCGTGCGTCACGAAAAATAAAAGATCTAGGGTTTTCTTTATCAGTGATTAATTATATATGTATATATACATGCACAAATATGTGTGTGTATACAGATACACATACATCAATATACATGTATATGTGGGCATATATATGGTGGTGATGAGGCTGCCGGAGACAACGGGAAAGTGGTTCTTTCTGAATGGGATCGGGCGACGAGTTATGATTGGAGGTATCTTGATTTTTTTTTTCTTTTTTCTTATTTTTGTGTAATAAGTCTATTTTTTTCCCTTTAATATATACTTCCATTCACCTTCATGTAGTGTTATGTATATGTCATGCTTATAAGCTCAAAATTTTATAACCTTACGTAAGCCTATATATACACACGCACACACGCGCACACACAATTACCTTCGGATTAGTTGTTAATTCTTGATAATTAAAATAATATTGCATGAAATGCTTATACACAAAATATTGTGTTTCGCCAATGCCCTTTCGATGTTATTAATTATTGTCATTGATGATTGGGTTATGAGATCAGTTGGTTTCAAATGGAATGATCTGTTCATCATCCATTACAATTACAATTACTGTAATGAACCATTAATTAACGGAAACGACAATATTTTGTTTAACCGATATATCAGTATATGTGATTTATTTGTTACTTTTGTATAATATTTTATAAGAAAAATGCAAATTGCATAAAGGCGAAACTCTACAGTTATATGATTATTTAATTTATCTACCAGTTAAATAGATTCTTATTTGTAAATTGCAGCTTTTCACAAAAAGGGTTTTACAAAGCTATAACTTGGCTATCCATTAGCTTATAAAAAAAACTTGTGTATCCGTTAGTAGGAAAAATAATAGCAATTAATATATTATAATCTGGAGATTGATCCAATTGTTAATATTGCAAAGTACTAATAAACTAGTATCAGTTAATTAACGTTTTAATTAAGCAGCTGGTCCAATAAATTGTATAATCATTTCATTTATTAACCTTCAAAACGCGTAAAGGAACATCTTTGTCCCTTCTTCAATCGACGATTTTAGGTTAATTCTTGGACGCAGTAGTAGTCGGTGGGCATGAGGGGGAAACGGAGCGAAGTGCATGTCTATAACTACAAAACGGCACACATGGGGGGGATGTAGAGAGAAGAGATGTCTACGTCGTATACATGTCACGGGGCCCAATGCAACGATTAGGAAAAAAGAAAAATGTTTGTCGGTTAGGTAAAATCGTTAGTTGGCGGGGCTTATCGCTCCTATTTATAATTACTAATACCACTAATCAAAATTAATGCAATGGCAATTTTTTTTATTTATCAATTTGTTTGTATTTATTTGTCACTTATTACCAACGATTAATTAATTAAATAAACCATAGTATAACACAAAATGTGCATAGAGTATCATAGACAATTCGTATGGCGGCTACCTATAAGACATGTCGAAGTGTTGGATTAATTTGTAGGATCACCCAACAGCTTCAGCTTGTGGGCGAGTGGTCAGTAGCTGAGTGTAAAACACTCAGAGATTGGCGGTTCGATTCCTGATTGGGGAGGAATTTTCACATGGACTGCCCCGATCCTCTGGGAGATGTAGTTGGACCAAAGATCCGATGAACTTCCGGATTATAAATTTTTTTTTGTAGAATCAACAAAAAAAAAACTAAATTATCTTAAATATATAACATAATCATAATAAAAAACGTAAATGTCAATTATATCTCGACATATCTTATAAAAACATTAAACTGTTATATTTATGTAGAATCTCTTTATTTAAAGGCAACGTAAAAAAAAATCTTAAGCTCTTCATACCTATATATAAAAAAATATTCGATTATGAAATGATTTTTAGAAAAAATTTTCTTGAACAAAAAAATATGAAGAACTATTATTTTTGTTAGGGGTGTCAATTTGGGTCCGAGACCCGAAGTTCGTCCCGATCCAACCCGAAAAATAGCGGGTTTCAGGCCGAAGTTTCTTGGCCCAAAAAAAATCGGGCTTTCGGATCGGGCTCAAATCGGACTTCGGACTCGAGTCGGGCCGACCCGAAAGCCCGATTTTTTTTAAAAAAAAAAAAGAAAAAAAATCACATTTACAAAGAGAGATCTGCAGGTGGTTCCGATCCAACCCGATTCGATTCGAGCCCGAAATGCATAGGGTCGGATTTCAGACTTAATTATATAGACCCGAAAAAATCGGACCGACCCGAACCCGAACTCGAACCCGAAACTTCGGGACCGAGTGTAGGCTCGGGCTGGATCAGACCGGACCGGCCCGATTGACACCCCTAATTTTTGTTACTATTGATATAAGGACCAAAAGTTATATATATATATATATATATATATATATATCAAATTGGGATCAGATTTTCTCTCTGCCTGTGCAAAACCCCACTTCATTGGAATTTTCTTCTGCTGATCTTGTTTGGTCCAAGGTCGAAGGTTACCGAGATAATATTGATAGAGTTGCCCTCATCCCGTATACCCGAGTTGACGATTTTGTACGAGGTGAATCTTCAAATAAAGATTGCCCCACGAGTTTTCATGTCGAAGCAAGACGAAGGAAATCCGTAGAGAAGAATTACAAGCCTAAGGTTGATGGCATCTTGGAGTATATTCTGTAAGTTGCTAATTTGTTATTTATAGCTCAAACATAGTGGCTGTTCTTCGGTTACATTGACTCTAATCTTCTCGTTTCTTCCTTTTCTCTTTGTTTCTCCTTGTTAGCTTTTTATTAATCTCCGTCGTTTGTGCTTGCCTCCATGGTTATTTCTTTAATGAAAACCATTCATAAAATGACACATTCAAATAAACCGACTTGTTTTTTAAGCTTGCGTTTCATATGCTGCTTTCATGAAAGCCATTTCGTAGTTGAAACAATGGTTTTAAATCATTCCCTTTCTGTAATTAGGTATTGGTGTTCCTTTGGACCAGATGACAACAGGAAAGGCGGAGCTGTACGGCCAATTTTTATGAAATTTGTATAATATAAAAATTTTGAAAAAAAAATTAAATAGAGTTTGAGAGTATAAATAAGAAGAATAACTCAGTTAATGATTTCCGTAAATATGTGCGATTGCACAAAGAAAAAAGTTGAGATGAAAAAGCTCACAATATTATTATGACGACGATCCATTAGACGAAATGGATGCAGCCATGATCCTACGAAAAATTCCAAATGTTTAATTATATAATTAATGAGTGAATATATATATATATATATATATAAAATTTGAACTAAATCTTCAATGCATATCATAAAAACATTTTTAATTAAATGATATGAATTAAGCTTGAGTAATACAGAAAATTGTTAATAATTGCTACATACTCAATGCATGATAAAAATATTTTTAATCAAACAACATGCATGAAAGATAGTTATTCTTCATAAGCAAATTAACAACAAATTAACAACAAAGTGTTCCATAATTTTCTTGTTAGAGACGACGATTTCTAATTTTTTTGTTCATGGTCTTTTATAACGAATTTAAAATATAACAATTTAGATTTTTTTTTCAATGTATAATAATTTAGAGTTTTTTTATAATATTTATAAGGAGTGCGCTAGTTTAATTTTTATAATGTAATATTTTAAAATTTATGATAAAATATATCTATTTTTATAGTCATTAAAAATGAATTGTCCATATAAATAAACATTATTTAAAAATAAAATTATTTAGACGCATATGTACAAAACTAGCAATTTTTAACACAATTACCAAACTAATAATGATTAAAGCCAATTAAAGTATCTAAAAAAATTATTATAAAAAATACATGATACCTTATATATAAAATTTTGTAGAATTTATTATTTTAAAATAAAAAGTAGCATAGTCTACTCACTTATTATAAATTTAAAATTTTAATAACTCTAAGAAATTGTTGATAATTTCGAAAATTTATAAAAAAATAATATTTAGATTTATTATATATTTTAAAAATAGTTAATATACACGAGTGAGGAAATATATCGAGTGCTTGTGATAAATTCTAATACATTGAATGAGAAGTGTTAATCCCGAATCTTAAATTGACTGATATCCAGGACGCGTATTTTATTTTCAAAATATGCGGGGTGGTGATAGTGAGACAGAAAGTTTTCAGGGTCTAATTATATAAATAGAACAGTTCGATGGGAAAACAAGATAATAACAATGTATTAAAGGACTAAAGTGAAAATTATATTAAATGAATTTTAAAAAGATGAAAGAAAATATACTGCGATGGGTTTAGCCGTTTAGGGCATTCGATCTCTCTCCGCCGTTAACCTCTCCGTCACCGACATTTTCGCCGCCGTCTCGGTCGTGCCGTCGGTTGTCTCCTCCTGTAAGGAATATCTCTTTCTCCCTCTTCTTTATACTCCTATATTACTGCTTCTCTGTCTTTGCCTCGAGCTCGGTTTCAGTTCGTTTGGTGGACGTTTAAAGTTCCGTGCTTGTTTTGGGGATGCAATTACAGAATCCCATGTTAAGGTTCGATCGATTCGGTGATGAGTTGTTCGTCGAAGCAACGAGAGTTGAAACCTGAACTTGTGTCTGCTAGTGAACTCTTCCATATGCAGCGTGTCTTTCTCCGTTGCATTCGACATCTTTTTTTGTGGGCATTCCTCTGTCTAATTTAGAGTTACTGGATGTAGTTTATTCATTTAACGCCTCCAGGAAATTTCTTATTTGGTATTCGTTGTTAGTGGTTTGATTTGATCATACTCGTATGAATGCAGATGGCTAGATGGGATCAGATTTTCTCTCTGCCTGTGCAAAACCCCACTTCATTGGAATTTTCTTCTGCTGATCTTGTTTGGTCCAAGGTCGAAGGTTACCGAGATAATATTGATAGAGTTGCCCTCATCCCGTATACCCGAGTTGACGATTTTGTACGAGGTGAATCTTCAAATAAAGATTGCCCCACGAGTTTTCATGTCGAAGCAAGACGAAGGAAATCCGTAGAGAAGAATTACAAGCCTAAGGTTGATGGCATCTTGGAGTATATTCTGTAAGTTGCTAATTTGTTATTTATAGCTCAAACATAGTGGCTGTTCTTCGGTTACATTGACTCTAATCTTCTCGTTTCTTCCTTTTCTCTTTGTTTCTCCTTGTTAGCTTTTTATTAATCTCCGTCGTTTGTGCTTGCCTCCATGGTTATTTCTTTAATGAAAACCATTCATAAAATGACACATTCAAATAAACCGACTTGTTTTTTAAGCTTGCGTTTCATATGCTGCTTTCATGAAAGCCATTTCGTAGTTGAAACAATGGTTTTAAATCATTCCCTTTCTGTAATTAGGTATTGGTGTTCCTTTGGACCAGATGACAACAGGAAAGGCGGAGCTGTACGGCCAAGTAGGAGCACATACGTTAGAAAGAAGAATAATGCTGGCCGACCCAATTCCAAAAGAGGGTGCAGGTGTCACTTCATTGTGAAACGTTTAATTGCAGAACCAACAGTGGCTCTGATAATTTATAACAATGACAAGCACGCAGATGAAAAAGGATTGCCGTGTCATGGGCCACAAGACAGACAGGCTGCCGGAACAAGAGCCATGTTTGCGCCATATATATCAGAAGATCTTAGGTTACGTGTATTGTCTTTGCTTTATGTGGGTGTCTCTGTGGAGACCATAATGCAAAGACATAATGAGTCGGTGGAAAAACAAGGTGGTCCAAGTAATCGAGATGATTTGTTAACCCACAGATATGTTCGGAAACTAGAGAGGAGTATCCGACGTTCAACATATGAGCTCGATGAGGATGATGATATCAGCGTCAATATGTGGGTCGAAAGTCATCAGAGTCAGGTGTTTTTCTTTGAGGGGTTCTCTGATTCAGACCCTTTTACTTTGGGTATCCAAACTGAGTGGCAGTTGCAGCAGATGATTCGATTTGGCAATTGCAGCCTTTTGGCTTCTGATTCAAGGTTTGGGACGAATAAACTCAAGGTCTGTCTTTTTTCCTCACTGCTGATGTACAATTATTAAATTTTGTTTTTAGTGTTATCAGGAAGATTCTCAGATAAATTTATTGCATTTGTTTTCAGTATCCTATACATAGTTTGGTTGTCTTTGACTCGGAGAATAAGGCTATTCCAGTAGCTTGGATAATGGCACCGAGATTTTCTGGTGGAGATACATATAGATGGATGAGAGCGCTTTATAATCGAGTCCATGCCAAAGATCCCTCGTGGAAGTTGGCTGGGTTCATTGTTGATGATCCTTTTGCTGATGTCATTACAATCAGGTTGGTTACTTCAAACACTGGTGTGTCCTTCTATACAAATCTTGTTTTAGGAAAATTGGCAGACTTAATTACAGCAGGAGGCTTGGGAAAATCTCACATTTGTTTATTTTAGGGCCTCAAGTTGAGTCTCAGCAACCAAATGCTGAACATATTGAATTAAACATGCGTTAGTAATTTCTGAAATTGGAGCACTATTTAGTACGATTTTGGAAATTTAAAGTGTTCCATCTGATGGCATAAAGAATGAATTGGCTTTGAAGAAAAGAAAGCACCAGGATTAAAATGATGGTCGAAGGCTTATCATTCTACAGTAGATAGTGAAACTGCATTGTTCTTTGGCTCTAGACTTGTGCAGTTTTAGAAATCCAGCCCAAATTCCACATCAGGTACCATTTGTTACATCTATATGCCAAATTTGAGTCGAAAAGTTACTTTTTATGATGTCCAGGGATGTCTTTCAGTGTCCAGTTTTATTGTTGTTTTGGCGTGTTCGCCATGCATGGCAAAAGAACATATTCAAGAGATGTGCAGAAACAGAGATCCGTGTCGAGATCTCAAGACAACTTGGACATGCCGTAGATAAAATCTGCAGAAGGCAAGGAACATTCTCATTGTTTGAGGATTTTTTGGAAGATTCTGTAGATAGCTCGGATTTCATGGAATACTTTAAAGCTGTGTGGTACCCTAGAATAGGTCAGTTTCTATATGTCTCTTCCTTCTTGGTCTCTACATAAACAGCTCAGGGGCCATAATTTTCATGTTCTTCTTGAGAATGACTTTTACTGTGCAATCTATATGACAGGGGCATGGACAACTGCTCTACAATCTCTTCCCTTGGCAAGCCAAGAGACCTGTGCAGCTTTGGAATTTTACCACTTTCAGTTAAAGTGCAGGCTGTTGAATGAGAGGGAGCCCGATATCTATCAACGTGTTGACTGGTTGGTTCATAAGTTAGGCACGAAAGTACATTCCTACTTTTGGCTTGATGAATATTCTGGGAAAGAAAATTTTGCAAGGTACTGGAAAGAGGAATGGGTGAGCGGGTTGACTTCTTTCCGCAAAGCATTGAGCATTCCGGATTCTGATGTTGTAATCACTGACAAATCTGCAAAAATCACAGATGAGAATGATCGTGATAAAGCTTATATTGTATGGAATCCTGGGTCACAGATTGGCATTTGCACTTGCAGCTGGGCTGAAAGGGGTTACATGTGTGAGCACATTATCAAAGTAATGAAATTTTGCCGTCGTAATGGTTCCACTGTGCCGTCTGCTAGCTTTCTTCAGTATTGTCAGACCTTGATTGATCTGCTTCACTGCCCACCTCGTGATTCCTTGTTTCGTGACTATTCAGTCTCTTTAGCTGTCTCCGTGGAAAAGCAAATAAATACACTCAGGGTTCTACGAAGCAGTGATACTGGGGAAGAGACCGCGTGGAAAGAGACATCCAACACGGAACAAGGTCGTGGATTATTACTTGACGAAATGAATTCTTTAGATAAACAAGAGGTGGTTGCCAATACTGAAAGTCTGGGCACCGAGAAAGGGACCGGACGTTTGGGCACTGAGAAAGAGAGTAAAACCATGGAGTCCATGGAAGATGGTAACTCATCCGAGAAACCTTCTGCAGTTGCCAACACTTCCTATCCGAATTGTGAGGATGTTATGGATTCTCAGTCAGAAACACCATCTGCTCTCTCTCGGGAAACTGAATCTATTGAGCATCCACCTAGCTATGAACCGCCTCTAAAAAGGTGTAAGCATGGTGAATTTGACAATAGAAAACCGGTTGATGACCAAATTGCGGTGATTGGCGACATTGGCAATATCCCGAGTACACCTTTGCCGGAAGGAGAGTCACATGATTCTGATGCTGTTCAGATGATAGCTAATAACGAAGTTGATGGTTAGATCCATCCCTCTCGGAGAGTTTCAGAGCAAAGATCAGACTAGAAATACGCTATTTCAGCTTGTGTGTACATGACAAGTTCAAAGAAAATATAGCTTCTGCAACTCAGAACATGACAGTGAACAACGTTTGAGAATATCAAAACTCTTCAGGCACAGAATGACGTGGGTTTTGGCATTCAGGGTGAAGGAACAAAAACTCTCAAGTTAATCCGGTTAGTGTCTCTCTCTCTTTGTGTTTCTTCTATGGATAGATATCAAACCGATCTTACCGTTGCTTTGAACGGCGAAGAAAGGGAAAATGGATTTCGAATTTCAATCTTGATGAGCCCATCTTGGCCACTTGGTGTTTGAATCTCCGAACATGACAGTGCTCAGGAGGAGTTGGTCTGGTAGTACATAATTGAAACTTGAAAGGCTTGGACATCCACATGATAAGGGGATGTCCAGGTACCCTGGGTACGAGAAACGGAGTGACGTGTTTGTCTGGAACTATAAAACGGCACGCATGTGAAGTAGGCAACATAGAAACGTACCTATGATTTTGTGTTTTGTGCTCTTTTTCACCTTTTTTTTTATATATAGTTTATTGCGTTTGATTGATCATTTATTGTGCTTTTCAACGACACTCGTGATTGTTTTTTTTTTTTTTTTTTTTTTGCTAAATGTATAGTTAGCATCCGATTCAAATGCGTAACTGCATTCGAGTCAAATTTGATAGAAATATTCATTTTTATAATTAAAAGTTGAGTCCAAAAAAATGATTCTAGATTAATTGTAATAAACTTGGATTGAATGGGATCAAGAATTGAATTAAATTTAATATAAAATTAAAGAGGTATAAATTTTTTAAAAACGTTTGAAACAGTCAGGTTGACCTTTTAGAATATTGGACAATAATGATACTAATTGTAAGTTTTTAATAGTATATTAACGAATTTCTTATTTTCAATTTATTTTGCATAATAGTATGGTAACTAATTAATCTAGACGAAACATTCTGCAAAACCGCAAAAAATATCTTGATGCAAAATAAATATGACAGGGCGTCTCTGCAAGACTGCAATAATTGGAAAATTAGGATTATTTCCACTTTTGCCACGTTAAATTTTTATTTTTATTTCCTTTAAAGTAAATAAATAAATCTGTACTCTGTAGGGTTGGATAGAAAAACGAACTAGGGTTAGTCAGTTTCAGAAGACGGTGCTATATAAGCCATACGATCGCCTCTTCGCCGGTTGCGGTGCATTTCGCCCTCCAAAAAAAAAAAACTTTTTTTTTGCCTTCTGTCGCAGATCCATCGGATCTCCGACGGCTTTACCCTCTTCTGTTCTGTTCCTTTACCATCCAAAAACCCTAAAAAAATTTCATCTTTTCCCCTAAATTCTCGAGAAAATTTCTGTTCTATTGTTAGCAAAAAAAAAAGCCCGAAAAAGAAGAACCATTGAAGCATCGAATTTTATCTCTTTAGGTGTTTGATTTTTTTTCTGACGAGTAGAGAGTTATCCGAAAAAAAACCAGGTTGAATTGTTCCGAGGGTTTCAGTCTTCGGAAATGGCGCAGATTCAGTTGAAGCATCAGCCTCCGTCTCCGAACGGCACGGCGGCGAGTGCATCTCAGGCGACTATGTCGCTGTACGTCGGCGATCTCGACCCTAGTGTCACCGACGCACAACTCTTCGACCTCTTCAGCCAAGTCGGCTCGGTCATATCCGTCAGGGTTTGCAGGGATATGAACACGAGGAAGTCGCTTGGATATGGCTATGTCAACTTCAGTAACCCTCAAGATGGTTAGTTTTTTTATTGACTTAGCAGGTGGATTTTGTATATTTTGTTTAATAGATGGGTCTGTGAAATTGTCCTTGTGAAGTTATTGAGGATTTAGGATTCTTGGAGATCAAAAGGGTCTGAATTTGGTTCATTTGATGATGAATTGTTGGTCGTTTCATAGTTTCTCGACACTCATTCAACAGGGCTTTGGTCAGAATCGGGTGGCTTGATAATAGTTGTGGTTACTGTCTTAAAAAGTCGGTACCTTTGTTTAGTTTAAGGCTTGAAGCTATTGGAATTATATGATCTGTTATCGTTTGGTCCTTCTGTTGGTTTATTTCTGCCAAACCGATCTGTTATTGTTTTGGTGGCGCTAATGCAGCTGCTAAGGCAATGGATATTCTGAATTTCACTCCTTTGAACAACAAGGCAATCAGGATCATGTTTTCTCATCGTGATCCCAGCATCCGCAAAAGTGGTTTTGGAAATATTTTCATCAAGGTACTTCACTTTTCTTTTGGAAATTTTGGCAATTTTTTCTTTTGATCTTTATTTTTGTTTATGGGTTTCTTTGTTTCTTGTGATATTTTATCCTGATTGAGATCTTCTCATGTCTTGGCTGTTGTGCAGAACCTGGATAAGTCCATTGACAACAAAGCCATGTATGATACATTCTCTTCGTTCGGCAACATTCTTTCCTGCAAGGTTGCCACTGACTCATCTGGCGAATCTAAAGGCTATGGCTTTGTGCAATTCGACAATGAGGAATCGGCTCAAACTGCTATAGATAAGCTGAATGGTATGCTCATGAATGACAAACAAGTCTTTGTTGGTCGGTTCCTTCGTAGGAATGACAGAGAAAATACTTCAGAAGGAGCAAAATTCAATAACGTCTTTGTGAAAAACCTCTCTGAATCAACTACTGATGATGATCTGAAGAAAGTTTTTGGTGAGTACGGATCAATCACTAGTGCTGTAGTGATGAGGAATGGAGATGGAAAGTCAAAGTGTTTTGGATTTGTGAACTTTGGAAATGCTGATGATGCTGTTCGTGCTGTTGAGGCTCTTAATGGGAAGAAGTTTGACGAAAAAGAGTGGTATGTTGGAAAGGCCCAGAAGAAGTCTGAAAGAGAGCAAGAACTCAGAGCTAAGTTTGAGCAAAGCCTGAAGGAGGCCGCAGAAAAGGTTCAGAGAGCAAATTTGTATGTTAAAAATTTGGATGATAGCATAACTGAAGAAAAACTGAAGGAGTTGTTCTCAGAGTTTGGCTCTGTTACTTCCTGCAAGGTTGGTGGAGTTGCTCTTTAAAGTTTTTGGTTTCATCCTGGCCTGAAAAATATGAATCCTCTCTTCTTTGAGTTCTTTTCTGATTTTTTCCTTTGTCAATTTCAAGATTCTTCGTGACCCTAGTGGAATCAGTAAAGGTGCTGGCTTTGTGGCTTTTTCAACTCCTGAGGAGGCATCTCGAGCTGTAAGTTCTCAATGTAACGTGGCTTTCTGGCATGTTGTGTGGTTGGGTTTTAACTCTGGTTGTTTTACATTCAGATCACGGAGATGAATGGTAAGATGGTCGGTAGCAAACCACTCTATGTAGCTCTCGCACAGAGAAAAGAAGAGAGAAGAGCACAGCTTCAGGTGATATTCTTTTTGTTAATTTCATGCAGAAGTTACCGTTTATCAATTCATTTTGTATGTTGTCTAGCTTATTGTTTTGCTTCAACCGTTTTGCTCATGGTGTTTGAAGGCATTCTATTACCTTTTTCTTACATTTATGAGGTTTAGTATATCAAGCCCCTTATGCTCTCAGATTACCAGCTTGGCCCTGTTTTATTTTGGGGTAATGGCTTACGATGTTGTGTGAGTTGCTTGTTTTTGGTGTTTTTCTATAAGAGTTGGTTGGATATTTTCATGGTTGGCTGTTGAAAATGTTTAATATTGATTTTATTTTGCTTAGTATTTCCCTCCAGAGAAGCAAAAGAAAATCCTGGGGTTGCAACTTGCAACCTTTATTAACACTCTCAATTCATTCCCTGGCTTCAGTCTCAGTTCTCGCAGATGAGACCTGTGGGTATGTCCTCTGCTTCTCCTCATATGCAGATGTTCCCCTCTGGTGCTCCTGGGCTTGGCCAACAGTTTTTATATGGGCAAGCTCCTCCTATGATTCATCCTCAAGTAAAACTCCTCTCTCTTCCTTTCATGGACTTTGGTTATTTGTTTCTGCAATAGTTGGTTGTTCTAGTTAGTCATGTTGTCTCGGATTCAAGATATTGTATCAAACTACAATATCGAAGGGGCTTTTGTCTATTAGCCCATAGATTGAGTGTTATTGGTTAAATGGACTCCAATGTTATGTGCTTATGCTCTGTTTTATGATGAGTTTGAGTGTTTTCATGTTAGGCTGGATTTGGTTTCCAGCAACAGCTGGTTCCGGGTATGAGGCCAGGTGGTGGTCCTGTCCCGAACTTCTTTGCTCCTTTTGTACAGCAAGGACGGCAAGGACAGCGGCCAGGCGGGCGTCTTGGCGGTGGTCCAATGCACATGACACAGCAACAGGTCAGTTGAAACTCACTTTTGTTTGGTGGTTTTCAAAGGATGTCCAAACCAAATCTTGGCACTCCAGATGGTTTTTTCTTAGCTATTCTCTCGATGACCACTTTTGCAGATGTTTCCTAGAGGACGTGGATATCGTCCTCGAGGCCGCAATACACCAGAATCTCTCATCTCCGACATATCGGGTGACATCTTCTATGGGCAAGGTACTGGTTTTGGACTGCAGCAACAACCCGTACATGCTTTGGCCTCGGCCCTTGCCAATGCATCTCCCGAGCAGCAAAGGATGGTTTGTCTCCGGCCCTTCTTGTTCTAGCTTTTCCGGGTTTCGCTCATTTGAAGCTAGACCCATGCCCGTGATCTCCTCTTACGATTAACTTCTACTCACATCACATCTGCCTTTGAATAGATGCTGGGTGAGAACCTGTATCCACTGGTGGAGCAGCTAGAGAGGGAGTTAGCGGCGAAAGTGACAGGAATGCTTCTGGAGATGGACCAGACCGAGGTTCTGCACCTGCTTGAGTCACCCGAGGCGTTGAGGGCCAAGGTCGGGGAGGCCGTGGAGGTGCTTAGGAGTGCTGCTTCTTCTAACCCAGTGGATGAACTTGCCTCACTCTCATTGGAATGATGACAGAACCAGCCAACATCAAAACCTCGTTCCTTGGATTCTTCTCCTGTTTGGTCCTTCTGCTCTTTGATTCGGATCCATGAATCATGACAATGGGTTGTCTGTTTTTTTTTTTAATATTTTGGTTCCGTTTTCAAATATTCACCCTTTTCTGCTGGATTCTGATTTTATCGATACAGACCGATGAAATTAAAGACCAGAGTTTTTATGTTTTGAACTGTAGCATTTCGATCTCGTGCTGGATACATGTAACGGGATCTCTGTTTCAGACATTCTTAGATCCAAGAATGTTGGGTTGGTTGTTGTTCAGTCTTTCGTTGATCATCACAGGGAGCAGCCAAACACCATGGCCATGAAGTAGAAGTAAATGAAACTTTTATATATATATTTCATTGTTGTGCTTGATTTGGTGACTTAATTGGTGGATGGAGTATTCATTGAGCTGTGGATGAATCACGAAATGGGCCGTGAGAGTTTGTTTTCATCAGTCCACACATATTAAACACAAATAAACCGGTGATAAAATCTATGGAAAAAATGTCCGGTTATCCAGGGAGACAGATTTGGAAATATGCCTTGGCGCCTGAGTTTAGGGAAATAACACATTTTTTATCATTAGGGTTGGACACGGATCGGATATCCGTAGTTTTTGAGATATCTATATCCGTATCCGATCTGCATAAATACTCAATTTTATTATCCGTATCTAACATAAAAAAATTATAAAAATTTAATTCAAATTTAAATAAAATTTTCAAATATAAATAAATTATATAAGTAATTTAATATAAATGTTATTCACAATTTAAATTTTAAATTTTAAATATTTTAAAATAACAACCAAAACAACCAAATTTCACATGTACAAATAATTGCACTAACAATCTCCCCCTTTTTGGTTATTTCAGATCATGCACACACACATAAAAAGATTCTCAATTCAGCACAATTTCGCATCAGGATTCACATCATGATTCAGACATATCTGACGTTGATTCTGAAGTAAGTTTGACAACTTTACTCAGCCGAGTTTGACTCTGAATTTAAATTAACTCTGACCACTTTGATTTTGTCTTTTCCTTTCTTCCTATATGTTTTCAGTTCTGTTGACAGAATCATCTTTGCCTCATTATCTTCAACTTCTGAATCATCATCTACATATTCTCCCCCTGTGTGCATGTATGAAATAATCCAAAATCTTGAGTGAGAAGAGATTTAAGATACTTACCTGACTTGCAGAATTTTGAATCTTCCTCTTGCATCTAAGAGTTCACACCTCTTGTCACACCATTTTCTTGTTCAACACTTAGAAATCTTATGCAGATTGTTTAGAGAAAAAAAATACACTTGCACAAAGATAATATGAGTGACACCTCCTTTCTCATATCAAAATTTATTGCAAGTCTCTGATTTTTCAGTTCCACATTGTCCAATAAACTGAATCATTACTTCACCACTCAACTCAAATCAGATTTAATTTTTGAAAATCAAGTGAAAATATATGCGAGATTAAATACGATCTTTCAAATTTTAAATCTAATGACATCCTATCAGCAGATCATCAGAAATCAATGCTTGATCAGTTAAGTCAGAAATACATCACTTTTCACCAAACTACACTTCACTGACTTTTCTCTCCCTGAATTTCTAGGACGTTGAAACTGAGCATGCAAGTTTCACCATTTAAGTCTAGACTGCATGTGGTTGAACTTAGACCCGATAGATTCAATTTTCCAATCTAGTCATATCAAATTTTCCTCCTTTCTTTTTTTTTTCTTTTTCCTTTTCCTTCCCTATTCTTTTCCTTTTTTTTTCTCTTTTTCTTTTCCTTCTTTTCCTTCTTTTTTTTTTAAAATTGCCATTCGGGAGTACTAAGCCAACAGAGGAGTATCAAGAGATGTCCATGTCACTATTTTTTTCCGAAGTGTACTTGACGTAACTGTGAAGTATCGCTGACTTTTCTTCGCAATCATTGAACCAAATCACTTTTGAATAGACACCATCAAAGATAAAATCAGAACTCTCCTAAACCAAAAGATTTTTTTTTTTAAAACACATAAACCCGTAAACTCATTCATGTCAAGTGGTTTCGTAAGGATATCAACAAATTTGCGCTCAGTTGGTGCATACTCAATCAAAAGACTACCCTAATTTGCTCTTTGAGAAAGTGGTGTCGAATCCATACCTTCCACTTGAGTGTACCTTTGAGCTACTAACCTGGCTTTGCTCTGAATAACTCTTTCATCTTCATGCATTATTTTGAGGTAGTACTCATCATTCAAAATCTCATTCATCTTAGTAGATCCATCCTGCGAAAAGAAACAGACAAACCTAGCCATATCTTGATAATTCAATCGAGGTTTTTCCCTTACCTGTCGTGGGTTATTCACACTTCCAATCACATCATCAACTGAGTGATTTCGGCGAACAGGGGGCTTAAGATCATCTTTCGTATCCTCATTTTGCATATCTTCAGGAGTCTAAGATGAAGTGAGATGTATCTGGTCAAAATCTGAGTGATCATTGACCGTTTCTTGAGGTATATTAGATATTTCGTACGCTTTCTCTGCACTTTGATGTCATAACTCTATCCTCGATTGATCATCTTGAAGATTCATCCAAGTATAACAATTACTTATTGTTTGCTTTCCTGTCAACACACACTTATTCAACGAGTTAGTGACTAAACATCTATCTTTAGTGAAGTGTAATGGAAGGAAACATATTATATCCACCAAATCCGTAACTATGATAGTCAAATGTGATTGTAATCGAATGTAATTGATTTAGTCTTTATTTTGTTTCCTTAGATATAGCAACAAGGTAGCTGTATAACTAAACTTTTCAATAGGAGAATTCTTCTCTATTTGGTATCAGAGCCCAAAGTCTCACGACCAACCCTAGTTGGTCCGGCGGACCAAGATTCCGGTCCGCCGGACCAGACATGTTCGAACCAAAATTTGGTCCGCTTCTCCCTAAGTCCGGCTGGTTCGATAATGGCTTCTGCGCGGGATTCAGATTATGATGATCAAGAAGAAGAGAGGAAGGAAACGAATTGCTCGGCGAGACTGGTTTCACGTGGTTTTGAACGAAGTAGATTATGTCGTTATAGAGCTTCTTCATGTGAGCGAGTTCCGACATGAGCACGCTGTTGCTCCGCCGCAATCTCTCGTTGTCTTCGGTCAAGGCCGTGACTTGGCGGTCGTATGCGGCGGCGGCGGCGGCATTGTCTCCTCCGCCGGAGATGTGGTGGTGGACGGTCGGTTGTCGCGGCTGCGGCGGAGAGTCACACCAGTAAGCTCCGACGAGGTCCACGTCATCGGCGGCACGTGGCGGGAAGGGGAAGAAGGTGGGTCCGGAAAACTGGAGCGGCGGAGGAGGAGGATGGTGGTGGTGGTGGTGAGGGAAGGGCGGTTGCTGCTGCGGCGGCGGCGGCTGAGCGGTTTTTCTCCGGTGGATTTCGCAGAGTAAATGCTTTTCTCCTCTCTTGAAGAACTCGTTTGCAAATTCCCATCTGTCCGGAACGATTTTTCTGAAACCCTAAACCCCAAAAAAGTATTGCAAAATCAGTGCCAAGATTATTTACATATATATATACTCACAACGTATAATCATCCATATTTCTCTGGAGAAAATAAACAGTGATAGTGAAGGGAAAAGAATCAAAAACACAATTTTTTTCACCAAAAGATCTCAACTTTCCCCGGAAAAAAAGAGCCCATGAACTTTGTAAACTCCCGGACTACAAATTTAACCAGAAAACGAAGACCCAAGTGGATTTCCGTGGTAAAAATACAAACTTTGTCAATTCCCAAGCAAAACAAATAAACGCGCACGAGATACACCAACAAAAACAGTACATTTACAAAAAAAAAAAAAAGAGAGAGAGAAGAAGACCCAGATGGATGATTTTTGTGAAAAAGATGCAAACTTTAGCCCATGTCGAGCAAAACACGTAGATACATGTATAGACGTACGTAGGTGTTGAGTTGACGGACGAAGCTGGAGAAGTTGTTGTGCTTGAAGTAATTAGGGAGGAGATCCCTGGCGAATTCAGGAGGGCGCCAAACGACGAAGGTGGAGTCGTCGTCTCCCCAAGAGACGATGTGATCCGTCGTGGGATCGTCCACAAGCTGATACGTCTTCGTCAGAAACGGCGCCGGAACCGCCTTCCCCTCCGCCGTCTCCACCACCCTCTCTCCGCCGTAGCTCTCCATCATCATCATCGTCGCCATCTACTCACAGAGAGAGAGAGAGAGTGTTAGTGTATTGGTGGGTTTTGGAAAAAACTGGCGGTGGTGGGGAGAGAGAGAGAGAGAGAGAGAGAGAGAGAGAGAGGGAGGAGTGTGGACTGTGTACTGAAGAAGAAGAAGAAGAAGAAGAAGAAGAAGGAAGGAAGCTTTTTCTTGGTTGTTTCTTGGCTTTTTGTGCTAGAAGTAATTAATTATACTAAGATTTTATTTTCTTTTTGTTTTGAGGTTTTTTTCTTTCGCTTTGTCTCGTACTTGACGAGTTTCCAATCGTTAGTGGGCGATTAATTATTAAATCCTGTACGAGTTTTTAATGAAGCTCGAGAAATAGTCGCCACGTAAAAGAGTGTACATGTATTTGTGTACCGTATTTTCCCCACACATTTGCACTGTACGTACCTTTTGCATGCCAACTTTTCTTTCTCCATATCAAGACAAAACTCTTGCTTATGCTCGGATACAGCACATACATACATACATACATACATAAAATGCATGCATGCATGCATACATACATTCAGATTGGAATGACCAAAATACTCTTCCTTTGTATAAAGTTGTACATATATCTTTAGAGTTTCTAAGTGTAAAATGAAATCATGTTCCCGGGTATAGATATATGAGTGTTTTATTTTTTAATACAAAACTGATATATCCAAACTCTAAGAATAAGAAATCCGATTTCAAAATATTCAACACAAAACATTCAAAACAAGATTCGGATAACCAAAATCTCAAATACCAAAGTTGATCGATCCTATCGTTTATAAAAAAAAAAATAGTTACAAATTATATATATATATAGAACCACTCAAATAGTGCACCACATTTTCATTACACCGTTCATGAATAATTTTGGCTGATTTCGAAAACTGATAACCTTAAGCTTCAACATGCAATCTCGAGACAATTAGTATATTGCATGTATGATAAACCAAACACTAAACTGCAAGATCTAACCGTGACATTGAAATCAATAGTTATATATAAATTCAGAATCTATCTATATATATATAATGGGGGGAAATAAATTTGGAATTATGTGGCCTCGGGCATAGAGAGAGAGAGAGAGGGGAATATGTGTCTGAGTGTCTGAATAAAATAAGGGCCTCTCAAGGCAAACCCGTGACTCTCTCTCCCTCTTTCTCTTTTCTGACACTACGATCCCTTCCCCCCACCCACTTCTCTAATTTAATTCATCTATTATACTTTTAATAAATTAATTATATATATATATATATATATCAATAAAAGTTAAACTCTTTTTTTCTTTATTCAAATTGCCTTTTGTATCCACCATTTGCTTTTTGGTCAACATTCCTACATGTTCTCTTCATTTTCCTTGGTGCAAAACTCTCCTTTGGCTTATTGTCTTTACGGGAAACTTCGTATTCATGCATGTGTTTGTGTGTCTCTATTGATGCACATATACGTTTGTATATATATATATATATATATATATATATATATATAATGGAAGATTCTGCATTCTTCTATTCCTGAGAAAAAGGTTTCAATTTCATGCCTTTATTCTTATTTTCCATAACCATTGACTATATATTGATATGGACATACAAGAAGATGCTACCCAAACTCCGTAATGTGTGGGATATTTTTTATTTTTATTTTATTTTGTGTGGTTGATCAAATCGGTTATATAATTCTAAATATTAATTTTAGTGAAAAATTAACGGGTATTAAACAAATATACCCGAAATTTTATTCTGGATTCAGTTTAACCCAAACAATGAAGACGAGTAAATTAACATCGAGCATTTATACACTTGTTCGTATGATTATATATTAAAATAATTTAATCAATTGATTAATTAAAACTAATTGTAGAATATCAAGGAAAATTAAAGATTGGTATTTCCAATGGAGAAGCAGACATATATACTAACAACTATTCTTCTCTTCGATCTATGTACGCATTGGCATTGCACTTCGAGCCTCTTTCACGGCTTCTAGCTCTTGGCCTTCCAAGCCTATTTGCCCTTCGTTACTTTTGTACATCGATATATATATATCGGTATTTTTCTGAATTGTGTATAATCCGATTAATTCTAATTTACTAAGATTAATCTCTTTCTATTTGTTTTTTCTCTATTTTGTTTTATAATAGCGATACCCACCATTTATAAATACTTTTGTATATATCATACATGATTTAGCATTTCAAATACAGCATTGAGAATTCATTGATACACAAAGCAAACCACAAATTCGAATTAGTTATTCTAACCATCAATTTACAGTTAAATTATTGGTTTTAATGCTACGCGTGCTGTAAGGTTCATATATAATGGTCCATCTCTGAACGATTCTTTGACTATTTCATATTATAAATTCCATTATAATATTTTGTTTTTGCCATAATGATTATATACATTTCTACCCAAAAAGTAAATTTTAACACGTCTAAAGTTTTTTTCCTATTAAAGTTAATTTAAAATATTAATATGTAAATTTGGTATTACATTCATGTGTATGCAATGTAGTAAAATAATCTTTAACAATAAAGAGAACTAGTATTTTTTTCTTTTTAACAGAAAATAATAATATAAAATTCGGATCTAAAACCCCAATTCAGTTAGGATAAACAGAGAGGGAATTTCATTTATCTAATTCCCATTTCTTTAATCGAGTCTTAATCATAAAAATATTCAAATTAATATCAAAATCCAACAACCTAAATTACATAGACCACATAACTATTTATTTCTCACCTAATTATTTCTTATATGGAGGGTCCAGGAAGAAAGGAAAACACTTTAGATGTAATCTTGCAGGGAAAGTCATAAGAAATACAATTTTAATATATTAATAAATTCGAGCAAAAGAGAGATTTAATTTGTCATGAAAATCATACACACAAATTAACATATCCACATGGGGGGGCGCATGAAAAGAACTAAAGTGAAATAAATGATTTTACGAGTGATGAGAAGTTAATGGAATTACAAATGTATATGTAGGGAACTCCACACAAAAAAAAAAAAAAATTGGTACTGATGATTTTTTGTAAGTATTATTTCATTCTTTGCTAACCCTAATTAGTAATGCCGTATTTTCTTTTACTTTTGCTAGTAGTTTTTATTTTTTTTAGAAAAAAACATTTCTAACATTATATATTGTTATATTATATTTTCAAAAATAATCAGTACAGATTTTATTTGGAATATCATAATATTATATTTTTAATTAAAAATTATCGTCTTCTATGTTTGTATTAATATATCATTGTTGTTGTGAATTAAATATTCTGACTGAATTTTAGCAAGAAATTAATGTAAAAAAAAAAAATTGAAATGAGACAGTGAATCAGTTTGAGGCTGGAAAAACCTCAAGATATTTGGCATATATTCCCAGAATGTATCTCATAGTATTTTACTAATTTATAAAATTTGCAAATCATCATTTTTTTAATTTTTTTTTAAAATTGCATAGAAGCACCGACCAAAGTGTTAAACTTTTCAAATAAATAAATATGTATGCATGTATGTATACAAACATGAAAGCATGCATGTGTATATGTGTGTGTGAATCGACTTATCTTCTTGTAACTCTGTCTCACGTCAGAGATGCTGAAAAAATTGCAGGGGTTGAAAACAACACGTATACGTACGTGCAATTTATATTTTTATTAACAGTATTTTCTTTTACAATGGACCCACGTGATTTTTTTTTTACTTTTTACGTTTTACTCTACTGTTGCCAACAGTAAAATAAATATTATCGCTGCCATCTATATCCATGGTACTTGTATATTTATAGGAATTTTCCTTCTTTCAATCTATATATAATTCTCACTCTACACACATATCTTTTAACTTCTTAAAGTGTTCTCGTCATTGTTTTGTTATTTACCTGTTGAAAATTCGACATTCGCATATATAAAGTTACTTTAATCGGAAATATATATATATATATATGAAATAACTTTATTTAATTCCTTTAGGAAAGTTTGATTGATCCTTTTCTTTTTTCCTTGGGGTACAAATCATGCAGATGAGAAGAAGAGAGTTCTGTTCCACATAAAGTAAAAGAACAAATCCCACCATGAACGAATATTTAATTATAACGTAATCTAAGGACCCGATCCTGTATATAACTGTGTGGATTTACCAAAATGACCCTTTATAATATTATATATAGGGGTCCAGATATTAATCGTTTAGTTAAAATCTAATAACATTTATAAGGGTTTAAACGAGCAGTTCAAATTCTATCTTGAAATACCGAAAAATTTATATAGAACTCTCATTACACTTAAAACGTATTTATAGAAAAAATGACGGAAGATGTACAAAAGTATTATCCATTAGAATTGAATAATTGTAGATACGATTGTAATATATATATATATATATATATAGTTCTTTCAGATATAGTTGTATCGAAACGGTGAAGTTTAGAATTATAAAAAAAAATCATATCGAAATAATATTATATTCTTGTGTGTGTGTTTTTTTTAAATCACGTACATAAGGTGCAAGGAACTAGCTAGAGAAGAGATCGTACCTTGGAAACCCCACCACATACGTACAAACACAGAGACAAACACGTCCATACATATATCCATACATAAATACGTTTACGTATATATATTTATATGTATGTACATGGCCTACGAATGTTTGGACGGTAAGAAGATTTCTCTTCTGATTTCTGTAATGAAGTGGAATTGAACCCCACAATGCATCTCTTCATCACATGACTTCCACAGTTTCATTTCAGAGATAAAAAAAATAAATAAACATGGTAATATTTTTATTACTTGGAGAAACAAACAGAAAAAAACAAATTACAAATCATGAAATTACGATATCTTAAACTTCAAATTGTTTAATATATAACATCTGCACACAAAAAAAGGTTCTTTTTTTTTAATACATTCATGTATGTATGTATTTATTTATTTATTTAAGATGCTCTCGGATCTTTCTTTAACTTTTTTCCTGGAGTTTTCTATTTAAAAAAAACAAAGATAAATTATTAATTGATATTTATGTAATTAATTATTCAGAAGAATCGAAATCTTGTGGGTATATCCGACAACGAACCACTACAAGGTTCTTTCTT